ACTCATTTTAAAAAGATATTATGTACTTAGAATTTTTCTCAAATCTAATCATTTTCATAAGTCTAACCAAAATGCATGTCATCTTCAATTGGCTTGGTCTAGGACAGTGTTATCCTAATTAATTAACAAACAAAATATTGCATTTGAACATCTAAGGCCAACACCACATATAGAACGCAATTTGTTGAAAAAAATTAATATTACGAAATGGTTTTTAAATATGATATTTGAATTATAAATTTTTTAATTTATATGATATTTAAAAAATTATTTATCTGTCATATATGATTATCTAAGATTAATCATATTAGAAATGAGTATTATATTAATTATTAAATTTATAATTCAAATAATACATTAAATTTTTTATTATAATATAAAAATTGTTTACGATATTTCTTTAAAAAAAAATAAATCCAAGTGTTATTCGACACCAAGAAGGTGACAATCTAGTCAAAAGGTAGGGAAGAATTAAGAAGGATTCGAATATGGGGAGATAGCTGTCGATCACCTAACTAATATTTTCTTTGAAGAGCTCCATCTTTCCACTTAGGTCGATGTTGACAACTTTTGATTGTTACAATTATACAAACTTGATTTGAATCAAGAACATGAATTAAATATATATTTGGCACAACTTTCCAACCCCTCCTTAGTATTACTTGGAAATTTCATTATTTCAATTAGGCGAAGTTTAATTAAAACTTTTTTTTTCCGATTTTATAAATCCTACTCTTCATTTTCAAAGATTAATTCAAACTCCAAACTTTTAGATACGAATTTTAAAATTTAACAGTTATAAATAATTAAAATGTAATTACTCATTTTAATTTAATAAATCAATTTATTTTAAACATACACACTAATATTCAACATCTCGAGAGGACTGAGGAGTAAGAGTGTGATGAGGTCATGATCAGCATCGGATCGGATTCGGGATGGATTTTGCTCGCCCCGAACCCGACGCGACTTTATGCATTAATAAATCCAAATCCGATCTTACCCAATTTTTTTTTGTTTTTTCGTATCCGAACACGAACTCTACCCGACACTATATAAACAGCATTCGATCCGAAATTAATAAAATATTTAAAAATATCATTATATAAATATATATAAATAAATAAATAAATAATTAATTAAAAATAATTTTTTATATAAATATCGGGTCGAATCGAATCGAGTTTGCCTAAAACTTGAACTCGATTGTTTCATAATTTTATTCGATCCGAACCGAAACTTAAATTAAAAAAAAAAAAAAATTGATCTCATAATATCAGATTTGATTGAAATTCGTCGGAAACGGATTAGATCACTGACCTTAATCAGCAGCCGTGTCCATTTGTTTATGACATGATGGAAAACTATTTGGCTGGTCAAATATGAATCTTTGAACGCTGGATTTGTTAGATGTGGGATTTGTCCTTCAGCGGGTACCTGATGGGATCAATACATAAACAAGAAGATTTGAAAAGCTTAATATATAAGCTCTACAGTCTAAAAATGGTCCCATGCCACCGTCCAAGAAGTTGAAAAAAAAAAAATTTGTCCCCAGCCATTTTGGTTTTATTTTGGAGCTGTGGAAATGGCAACTAAGAGTTAATTATATACCCAAAAATAAAAATAATCCTTTTATGGTGGATTTATTACTTGCTAAAGAATTAAAGATATCAGTTGCCATCAGTTGAGATCATTTCTGGGATTTGATTTTTCTGTCACCTAATTTCGATAGTGATTTTTTTCAACCGCTTCCATTTTTCAATACCACCCATGATGAAAGAGCAGGCATGATGATGAACCAATTACAAGAATCAAGGATCCAGAAGGATGTAACTTCTCTGAAAAGCTGTCATGGAATGAGCAAAGCTATAACATTTGACAGCGTTGTTTCTCTCAGTAACCTTATCCATTAATCTCCTTGCACCAGAGCTCAGGAGTTCTCTTAAAGCAGATGACAAGGCAAAATTCACTTGAAAAAGGATTTTTTTTTTCCGCACTGCACTGAACCAATGAACAAGTGTAGTGCTGAGGAGTAAACGCTCATGGAAATTGTATCATCGTGCTTGCAAGCCATGTACAAACAACTATTTCAGTAAGAAGAGAAAAGCGTGGAGCATCATCATCTTTCATTGTTGAAGCTACCATATAAATGTCTCCCCTCAAATTATATACTCTCAAGAACAGCAATAAGACATGGGAATTCTATGAATTACACACATGGTACGATTAGTTACAGAACAAAATTCCTGTTAGAACACATTAACGTGAAATTGCAAATACATGAAGAAACAGAAGCATTCTCATTGCACATAAGCCACAGAAAAGCAAGTTCATCATTAATGACAGAATGTTATGATACTCACCCTGATTCTTTACAAAAGCTCAAAAAAAGGAATCGTATTTACAACTACTAATCACTTTTACAGGATAATAAATTAACTGACTAACTGAAGGTTCATGGATAAAATGAAGTAGCAAATCTTAACACTCTAATTTACCAGCAAAGTAACATCCTAACTTTCATAGCTTGCTTCAATAAATAACATATCATCCAGGATTCCTTAGTGATTAGTTCTAAAACTGTGGTGCTCATTTGGCTGGAATTCTGCCTTGGAAGGGATATTGTATCCATGTAGAAGATCAGGGAAGGATCTCTTCCACTGCTGCTCCGTGAAGCACTAGACTCTCCTGCAGCTTTATTTTTTCAAACAAATATTTCTTCTCAGCCTCTGCCTCACTCAAGCAAAGTTCCGAGTAACTGCAACTATCACGCCAAGCATTCAAAGAAAGTAGATAGAGTATATTAATTCTATTTCTGATAGAAAAAAGAAGATCATTAGGCATATAAGTGTTAGTGTTATACATCCTAATAAATCGATGTTGCAAGAAAAAGAAAATGATCACGTGACAAGTTTATACCAAGCGCTCGTAGAGAATAAGTAAGGTGCATTAATTTTATATTGGATAGTAAAAAAAAAATATTGTTGTGCATGTAAATGTTAATGTTGTAGACCCCGATAAGTTGATTTTGTGAAAAGAGGATAATGATCACATGATAAGTGGTATTAGAATTAATTTTTGACTTATTTGACTTCATGTCAAGAATCTCAATGAAATAAATATGATAGGTCAATCTAATTACTTAATAAAATATCATAATAAAATACATTAACAAAATCTGACCACGTCAAATATACTCTAAAAAAAAGTATGCATTTGTAACAAGGGCATCACAACTAGAATAGAGAAAAATACTTTAATCTCGAATCGGATAAAAAATAAAAGATCATTGGATATAAAAAATAAAATATCATTAAACATCTAAGTATTGACGCTAGCAATTCTTTGAAATCTCTCAACCCCTTTGTTTTGCCTCATTGGCTTTAAGTAATTAGATTAAGTATTAAGTTAATCTATCTTATTTATCTCATTAAAATTTTTAACACCATGTCAAATGAGTCAAAAAATTAGTTTTGATTGTACTTATCATGTAATTATTATTTTTTTTTGTACAAAATCAGCTTATAAGGTAAAATCTAATCACGTCAAACATACTTTAAAAGAAAGCAGACAACCGTAACAAGAGCATCATGACTAGAATAAGAGAAAATGCTTTAGTCTCAAATCGGATAAGAAATAAAATATTACTAAATATAAAAAATAAAATATCATTGAACCTATAAATATCGATGGTAGCAATTCTTTGAAGCCTCTCAGCCTCTTGTTTTGCCTCATTGGCCTTAAGCTGGAAATATCTGCCTCACAATTCCCTACAGCTCTTCTATCTGCAGCTTCTTATTTTTTCTCTCTAGCTTCATTTCTTCTGCCTCCTTGGCCTTGTCCTTAACCTCCCGCTCACAAGCGTCAAGAGCTAAGCGAGCTTTCTTGAACATCCTCATCTTCTCATCAGCCACCATTTCCATCTTCCATACGGCCTCTTGCACTATATCTGCTATTCGATTGCGTGCCTCTTGTGGTGCTATCAACCACCCACCTTGTCCATTTTCCAGGCTTTTTGGACAATCCATATCAAGCTCTATTTAAGTAACAATGATTTAAAACAAAAAGAACTTTCATACAACACAAAATTATTGATTCAGAGAACAACAAAGTTCAAAAGTCGAGATCAAATGTCATGAATATCTGAAACTTACGATTTTTCTTTAATATTTTACTCATTTAGGAGCTTAGGTAATTTCTAGATTTACTGAAAATTGCAGACTCCAAGCCTAACAATTTTGGGATTTGCTCTTTACCTTCTGATTTGGAGTCCAAGTCCTTCGACTAGTCGGAGAGACATCAGTACAATTAATTAACAGGGAGAACATCTATGAGAATTGTAGGTGCCATTATGCTTTTTTTTTATTATTGTGTGGAGCAACCGTAGGTGCTGAAGCCTTTGAGACCGTAAAATAAAGCTAAAACAGGAAATCCATGAATGAAGTCTCAATCGTTATCTTCTTTTTCCTCCCCATTTCCATAATTTTTTTAGTTCTAAAATAGGCTGTCTTATACATTACTTGGAACTCCCAAGCAGATATTCACATCAGCCAAACTGAATAAGCCGTCCTAATCTTTACTTGAAACTCAAGCAGATATCCACATCAGCCAAACCTAATAAGCAGTACTAAATCTTACTTGAAACTCTCATGCTGACCTAACCCGCAACAACATTACCATCATTTCAACCCAACCCCGAGTTACTGTCTGCATGTATCGTTCACAACCAGAGAAATGGGCAGGTTTTTCCTTTCCATTCGCTTGCTGTTGTCAAGATTGAATCTTTTTCCATCCAACAGAAGCCCTCAAACCCCAAATTATCTTTTCTAATCAAGTCCTAAAATCACAACATTTAACACACAATCAACTTTGCCTATTTTATACAACCCTCCCTTGCTATCCTATGTCAATTCAGGAGTTACAAGGAGATCCCTACAAAAACAGAATTAGGTCTTCCATTCATCTGAATCAAAGACAGTTTGAAACTGATTTGCCAACAGAAAACTTATCATTGTCAATAGATATACGTTAACATTTCCCAATATGATTATTATGATAATTAATTACTAATATACCACATGATAGGAGTTAATCTCTTTGCTATTAATCCGTCCCCTTCCAGCAAAACAAATAAAAAAAAGAAGCAAGTTAATCTATTTCTCATTTAGTTTTTCTTGCATACATATCATGAAACAATAACATAAAGCTCAACAGCTGTAGAATAGCCAAGAGAGAGCAAAAGGAGCGCAATTTGTCCAACTCAGTTCTACACAAACTGTCAATGGCATTCAACTTATCACTGCATCCAAAATATATCTGGTACATGTTGACGAAGCCCTCTCAATATTTGCTGAATATATGGTATGTGCAAATGGAACAACTTTAAAACAAACCATGCACTTGTCATTTCTGACCATCAGCTTGAATTGGCTCAACCACCTCCGCGTCCAATACCTCTACACGGGGAGACTGCAATACTGTATCCTGGACACCAGATGTTGACCATTTACCTGAAATAGCCGTTCCCATCATCTCATATATCTTACCACTGAGCTGTGCTGGATTGTCAGGCTGCATATATCACATCAAAATTTTAAAAAAACTATAGGTATAATACATATATCATCACATTCAAAATTACGAATGGCAAGTTTCCAACAATCAATGAATTAACTTTCAGATCTTTAACATCGTATCTACAAAGCTTCAAAGGCAAGGTTCTTATAGAATAACGTCATAAAATGAGTACAATGTAAACAAAAAACAACTATATTCTAAATTAACGCAATATAATATTATTTTCAGAAAACATATTAAAGTGTGAAAAAACTCACAGTGTAACCACTAGAAACAAGTGCTGCATCATATAAAAGATCTATAGCTCTCAAGGCATCTTCGTCATCAGGGTTACTCTTGTATGCAGCCTGCAGAGAGTATAAGTTACAATAAAATGACAATAAAGGGATTAAATATTAGGTTTACTGTTCATCACCGTACATTCAATTCTCTAATAATTGGATGCTCAGGATTGATCTCAAACACCCTTCTCCCCTTCATGAACTCCAAAGTAGAGGTATCACCAACAGTTTGTGCCTTCATTAGTCTGCAAAATATCAGTTCATGTTAATTGATGCTAAAAAAAATTTCTTAATCACAGAAGCAGCGTAAACAAGAGGATATTCACCTCTCCATGTTGGCAGACCAACCAAACTTCCCAGATACCAAAACACAGGGCGATGAACTCAGACGGTTTGAGATTTGAACACCGGCAACTTTTTCACCCAAACGTTTCTTAATCCAATCGCAAGTTTTGCCAAATTCCTCTTTGGTTACTTTCTCCTTTTCCTCATTCTTATCACCTACAGAAACGAGACAAAAAAAAATTAAAAACATAGGTTAACCATAACTAGCTTAAATGTAAGTAATGTTCTAACTGCCAAGTAATTCACAAGAGTTTGTATTGACAATAATGAAAGCTTTAGATAACCAACCAATGCTAAATGTAAAACTTAATGAGATAAAGAAGATCCCACACACTAACCTAAATCCAAATCTTCTTTGCTAATGTCTACAAAATTCTTCTCCTTGTAAGATTTCAGATTTTGAATGGCAACCTCATCAATGGGATCTACCAAATAGAGCACCTAGGGAGATGAAACCAAAAAAATTCATTGAAAATGAAGCTCAAGAAATATAGTCTGTATAGATTTTGATTTTCAAAGAAGATATATACTTCAAGATCCTTCTCAAGAAGTCTCTCCAGGAAAGGTGCATTCCGAGCGCTGCTCACACTGTCAGAAGCAATGTAATAGATATCCTTCTGCTCAGGTTTCATGTTCTCAACATACTCATCCAAGCTAATCATCTCATCCTCACTTTGGGAAGAGAAGAATCTAAGCAATGGTGCAAGACGCTTGTGATTTTCACGATCTTCTATGCATCCCATTTTCAAATGTCTTCCAAAATTCTCCCAAAATGTCTCATAATCCTACAATGCAAGCACATGTTAAGCATACAAATGCAAAATGGAATAACACACTGATCAATTCATATTTGCTCACAAAATAGAAAATAAATTCCACAATAAGCCATGCTTTGTTCAAGTCTTTTTTTACAGCAACTATACTTGCACAATTGCACAAGAGATTAAGGGGGAAAAGGAGTCAGGGATGAGGAGAGAATGAAAAATATATGATGCATACTCCTTTATTTTCACTCATTGATATTCCCAGAATCATGTCAAACGCTTTTCGGACCAAACGTTTCCTCATGATTCGCACCTTCAAGAACAGCACAAAGTTATAGTTAGAAGGCTGTTAACTAAGAAAAAGCAGTTACTTTTTCGATATCTAACAGATTTCTAGGGAAAAAAAATTATTGGACGTACAATACGACTTTCTTGAAGAATCTCACGTGAGACATTGAGCGGAAGGTCATTTGAGTCCACAACACCCTTGACGAAGCTTAGATATCGAGGAAACTATTCAACGAAGAATACAAAAAGGTCACAAGTTAGATTATATCTCAATCAAGTATATTCCTCTCATGCATAAAGGAAAGACATTTGATTACCAGTTCTCCATCAAAATCATCTGAAATGAAGACCCTTTTAACATAGAGTCTTATATTCTTTGTCTTGGGATTAATTATGTCATCCTTTCCCATAGGAGAAACGGCTGGAACATAGAGTATAGAACGAAACTCCACCTCCCCCTGCAAAAGCAATTTTTATAACTTACAAAATGAAATAAGAAGCAGTGGAAGAGTGATGCAAGTCCCATGTTACAAATGCATAAGTTTTCAACAGTATTATCTTCAAAGGACATTAAAGGGATATTCCTATTAACTCCAGATAATTGAATCCAAGATAGACTGTAGCAAGTTTTCAAAGTTGATTCAAAAGACCCCCTATTAAACAATAATCACTGTTATTACCTCAGTTGTGAAGTGTGATGATGCTAAAGGATCTGAGTATTCATTAAAAGTTTTCTTGTAGAACTCATTGTACTCCTCTGTTGTCACCTCCTTAGGATTGCGAAGCTGTAAAGATAAAATTAGTGATAGTGTCACATATTAAACATTTTAGAAATGCGAACACTGAAACTTAAGCAATTCTAAAACTCACCCAAATTGGTTGAGTCTCATTTGTGAGCTCCCAATCCCAGAACCTCTCAACAACTTTTTTTGTATTCTTCTTCTTCTTCTGTTAAATCAAAGTCGAAAAACAATCAATCACATGCATGTTGCTAAGCAGCCTGTAGATGATAACATAAAAAAGTACAATAAAACAACGTAACCACCTCAATCTTTTCATCTTGATCAGCCTCTTTGGCTTCAACTGGGTCCTCATCAACTTCAACCTGTGAAAAGCCAAGCATAACAGTTTAGTTATCCCAAAAACTAGTTGACGCCTTTGTCAAGAAAAGCACAAATCTTGACATCATGTTGACAGCACCTCTTTAGTGATTCCCTTCTCCTGCCAAGTGTAAATTGGGAATGAAACAAACTGTGAATAGTTCTTCACAAGCTTTTGGATCCGTTCAGGATGGGCAAAGCCTTTGTCATCACGCTGAAAGTACAAAGACAATAAGAAACAAGAGAGATAAATTCAAGATTTTATAAAAAATAAAGGTACTAAATATTCTTTGTTACTTAAGCTACCTTCAGATACAATGTAAGGCGTGTTCCTCTAGGAATGAGATTTTCTGGGTTTGTCTCCTCCCGAATAGTATAGGAGCTCACATTTGCCTCTCCTTCCCATATATATTGTCTATCAGATTTTGGACTCTTTGTTGAGACAACAACCTACAATTAAAATTAACTACATAAGCAACTGATGAATTCACATGCTAAGATGATAAGTATAATAGGTTAACTACGTACCTTATCAGAAACCAGAAATGCTGAATAAAAGCCAACACCAAACTGACCGATCAAATTGTTGTCAGTACCAGCATCCTTGCTTTCCTGCAAAATTATACATTTTATTAAAGCCCATTACATATAAGCCTAGAATCAGGAAATAAAACATTTACTTTAATTTTTAGACCTTCACAGCCTTCAAGAACTTTGCAGTTCCACTCTGTGCAATTGTACCAAGACCATCTACAAGTTCTTGTCGAGTCATACCGATGCCTGAGTCACTGTATAAAACATAGTATTACAAGCATTGCTAAAAACAAATCCTCAATCAAAGCATCTTAAAGCTTATATACTTACGTAATAGTTATTATCCCATTGTCTTTGTCAGTTTGGATACGGATGTCAAGATCAACAGCATCCTTTAAAAGCTGCGGATCTGTAACACTTAGATACCGCAGCTTGTCCAAAGCATCACTTGCATTGCTGTGGAAACACATTTATAATTTCAAAAAGAATTAGATTTAAGGATACCAAACATCATGTAGTGGAATCAGACAGACTATTATATAACTTTAGCTTAAAGTTCAATTATTGCATAGACAACTCTTTATAAACTAAGCATTACTGTCATCTCCTCAGAATATAAAATAAACAGACAGCATATAGTTATCTTGGATTTCACGCATCAAGGAAGAAAAGATTGTTAAAAGGGTAAGAGTATGCATATATTGGCCTATCTAGGATGGCAAAGGGTAATAAATACATCTTTGGAGTCCATATTTTCAATTTGTTCCTCACATTAACAATCTTATAATATGGCCCCTGAATTCACACATATTTTACATGCAGATTGTTACTATAAAATCATGGTAATTTAATAAATCCAGGGATGGACAAATAAGTTCTCAAAACATGCCTGATAAGCTCCCTAAGAAACACCTCTTTGTTGCTGTACAAGCTGTTGACGATAAGATCCATGAGTCGACTAACCTGCCAGCCATGTATGAAACAGTAACATTATTAAAAAGAACCGATCAAAATTTTATACAAGAACTTCTTTACTGTAGGCCAAAAGAATCTATATAAGAACTTATACAAGTCAGGGCCCCAACATACCTCAGCTTGATACTCATATTTCTCAGCTGGAGGAGGAGGTGGATTTGACGAATCAGATGCTGCCGCAGTTGACTTACATCTGCTGCCCAAAAACAAACCACTTTTCAAGTTCAAGTGAGCCGAATGTCTGGCCGTGTCACACTTCCCTCTAGTTATTGCCGAGTACCAGGTGTTATTATCACTCCCCACTGCCTGTTCATAGTCCAATAAAATATTTATTAAAATAAACTAATAAAACACAGATTATATTAAAATAAAATATCCATTTAGCAAATTCACAGATTATATTAAAATAAAATATCCATTTAGCAAATTTCATAAATTAACATAATTTCAGAAATCATTTTCCTTAATTGTTATCAACAAAGAAAATGTAAATAACTAAACACCAAAGGAAACTTTGACATTAGTTTCAATCAATCGTCACTCACAAAAATAAACAAAAAAGAAAAAGAAAAACTCTAAAAAGATTAGACTTTTCCTTTAGTTTCATGATTATTTTTCTATCCAAATGAAGGGTTAAACCAGGAGAAATGAGAGGAGAAGAGTACCGAGTCAAAAACAAGAGTAGAGGAGGAGATTGAAGCTGCCGAGGCGTTGCGGTAACGAGAAGTAGGGGCACGGCGGGCAGCGGAAACGTAGCGCCTGGAGAGGCGGTGCATGATTCGAAATGAGAGAAAACGAGCGAGCGAGTTTCTGGTAAGTTGTTGATGATCAGTGAATTGGGTGCTATATGCAGGGACTGGGGCAGGGATGATTATAATGAGGGTTTTACTCGGGTTTCGCTCGGTTAATGGGTTTAATGAAGCTTCTGGAGATAAATTGCTAACAAGTTTTTGGGTATTTTCGTCATTTAGAAATGTGAGGACTGAGAGCGGAGATTTGGTATGCGAGGTCTACGCTAGGTGCTGTATAAACAAATTCTAACGATTCTCCACGTTATCAACTTTTTTTTCTTTCAATTTTCCTGTCAATATTATGAGTCGGTTCAAGTCCATTTATATCAGGCTTTAAAACAGATTAAAATGGCTCACATCGAAAAGGCAAAATTAGAAAAATTGCAGGCTGCAAACCCTAATCAAATCATAATATTTAAACTATAACTAAAATTTTTATGTCTAAGCTTTAAAGAATGATAACAAATGTAAGTGTATTTATTTATTTTAATATAAACTATTATTAATTATATTTATTTTAATATAAACTATTATTAATTATATATAAATGTAATTTTTATTAAATTAAAGTATTAAATAATATTTTATTAATATAATATATATGCATATAAATTAAATAAATCATAAAAATATATTATTTTATATATCATAAGAAGGATCAAGATAGAGTATTTCAAATTCAATATGAATTAAATTATTCAAATACGTAAATTTTAACTAAATTTTTATTTTAAAAAAGAATTTATATTTCATATATTGTTGGTGTATAGATTTTATACACTATCAACGAATCAAATAATGTCATCTCATTAATGACTGAATATCAATCTTTAAAATAAATATTTAAAAATTTAATTTTAAAAAAATTTATTTATTAATAAAATATTATCACCCGATTCATCTCATTATTGAGGTAACATCATCTAATTTATTGACAGTATATAAAATCTATATACTAATAGTGTATCAAATATAAATTCTTAAAAAAAAATTTATATAGATTGAATCATGACAAATCAAACTAAATCAAATATAGGTTATTTTGTCATCTTTACATTAGTGACTCTTTTTTTTTACATAATTTATTTAATAAATAAAATTTTTAAAAACAAAGGAAATGATAAAAAAAAAAAAGCCATATGTGAATTTATTATTACAATAAAGTATTAAATAATATTTTTTAATAAAATACATATATAAATATAAAATTAAATAAATAATAAAAAATATTTTTTTATATATGCTAAGGTTGAGATGTAACTCTTAAAATTTTACTTTTATCCGAACTAAATTTAAAAAAAAAACTCAATCTAATTATTTCAAATTAAAAAAAATGCACAAATTAAATCGAGACGAATTGAAATTTATTGATTACGGGATTATTTTATCATTTTTGTCCCAATAAATTTTTTATTACAAAATTTATTTAACAAAAAAAGAAAAGTAAAAAACAAAAAGAAAACCCAAAAAACAAAAAGCTTTTAAAAAATAAAGAAAATAAAAAATACAAATAAAATGAGGGAGATGTCTCGTGGACATGAGACAAAACGAAACACTTTTAAATTTGTCTTTAACCTAACCACATTTTCATTTTTTTTTAAATGTACCTATGTTAGATGTTAGATTGGTACAAATTTAAACCAATTAACTATGAAATGTTTTATTATTTTTATTTGATTTTTTTTATAAAATTTATCTAATAAAAATAAAATTAAAAAAGCCAATAAAAATAATTATATATAGATATGTATATATATAGAATGAGATGGCCGAATCATGGGCAGGGAAAAGATCTAAAATAAAACTGACATATCCATTTCTTCGAACATTCAAACCTTTAGAAAGTTATAAAAAAAAAATTAGGAATTAGTCAGATAAGCAGGACAGCAGCTGTATAAATATGGAAGAAAACTTATATAAAATTTTTTAAATGAAATTTGTCAATTTTTTTAAAAATAATTTAATAAAAATTTTAATAAAAAATCAAAACAGATAGATTGATAAAGTTTAATGTAAAAATTAAAAATATTATTTATAATTTAAATTTGATCGATATTTATTTAACAGTAAAATTCTATCAATAATTTTATTGAAAATATCTATATAAAAATATATATCAAAATTTATTTGAAATTTTTTCAAATTTTATACATTTAATTTATGTAATGAAATTTTTTTATTTATCGATCTTATTTTTTATTTTAATTTTATTTAATTATTTTAATATAAAACTTTACGAATTTTACATAAAAAAACTATAACTATGCGTTTTTGAAATATGTACGGTTGAAAGAAGCATACGCAAAGATACCAAACAAAAAAACAAACACAACTTTATTTTTATACCACCAAAGTATGCATCAAAGAGTAATGTAAAAAAAAAAAAAAAGCAACAAAGAAGATCGCCGGCATCTCGTTCGAAGTCAGTACCAACCGCATCAAGCAACTTTACAAGCAGCAAAAAACACAAAACTCTGGAGTGAAAGCCAACTGTAACCCACAAAACAATACCACTAAACTACAAGCAAGCTCGACCATCCCCTACCCCGACCCTTTATTGTCCTCTAACTAAAGGACCAAACAAGAAAAAAAAATCTGCAGTTTTCCATTAATTATATTGATTTCTTGAATTTAAAATTCTCTGCTTTGAAAATCCTTGCACATTTTTAAGAATCAAATGGTTTAGCTACTTTAAATTATTGATGACTATATGTTATCAGCGAATTCTCCATCTTTTTTGCCTTGGAGCAGCATGAGAAAGTGAATAAGCCTATCATGGGAAGCTATAGATTGAGAATTTGAGATCTTCCGTATTAACTGATACATGGCAATTTTCATTCCAGCTGCTCGTGGATTGAGCATCAGTTAATTCTTGTTGATCAATGAATGACAGATGAAAAAAAATGGCTAAATTTTATTGTCAGAGTTATGATACGGACATTTGATCAGAATCCATACATGTGAGGGAAAAATGAAAAAATTACAAGATTTAAGAGAAAGCAGAATGCAGTCTTTCTGATTATTCCATAAACAATATTCTGAAGATGTATCGAGCAATGCAAATATTACTCTTCCATTCTTAATTACAGACCAAAAAAAAAGGAGGAAAGGGAGTAGGATAACGAAGAGACTATGAAACACGTAAGAGTAAGATTCCTCTACAGATGAAGAGAAGTATCAACATCAGAATTCTCAAAATTTTTCCATGTGCTTGAAGTGGCTGCACTGTTATTAGGCCATAACCTTGTTGATGAAGGGAATGACATCTGTGAAATGGGTTTGCCTGCTCTATGAGTTTAGACCAAGAGAGAGTGAATCCGATGGGGTTGCCTGTAAGGTAGAATTACCTCAGGTTGGTCTTGGAAGGACAATCTGTTAGGCTCATAGCGCATGGCCGTCGGGCTGGCGCGTTCGGTTTCAGAGAATAGTTTCAGATGCTGATCTTTCTCCTCCCTGTTTTCTCTAACCTTCTGCAGCTGTCTAAACCTTTCTTGCAAAAGGGCAAATGAGGTGCAAACCACACTAGGGTCACCACCTTGCCTGACCATTGTAGGAAAAACCGTTTCCTTTGTGGCAATTGCTTGATGCGCGTTTGTGAAAATGATTAGAGCTTAAACGGGTATATATATGTATTTATAAGAGATGGTCATTTCCCGTTCAACACTAATGTAGACTTTTTTATTGCAATCTCAAATGATTCTGGCTGATGCAGTACACAGATGAATCGGCTGGTTTGCAGCAAAATCCAAGAAGATGAGTTAGACAGGGCTGGATTGCTGGATGTGTAGGCAAAAGTAGGATAAGTGTGAGATATAGAGTCCAAATACAATTGGCGAGTAGCATTTGGAAGGAAGCTTTGTGGGGAATTAATGGTTACGTAGAGCCTTTTTGCTTTTTTGTTTTGTTTTTCTTACAAAAAATCACACTGAAGGAAATGGGTTATGTACGGAGATGGCAAACGGTCCGAACCCGTTAGATTTTGATCCGAATTTCAGATCGAATCAAATTTTTTATAAAAAAAAAAAAAATCAGGTCGAGCTTAATTTGAGGTAAATTTATCCTGATTCAACCTAATTTATATCAAAAACATGTTTTTATTATTTATTTAATTTTATGTTTATATATGTATTATATTAATAAAATTATTATTTAACATTTTAATTTAAGTTAATACCTAATAAAATATTATATTTATACATAATTAAGATATATTATATTAAATTAATTTTGAATCGAATCAAATTTATTATAATTTTTATAATATAAATTGAATAAAATATAAAAAATAATATTTTAATATCAATCAAATTAGATTCATTTCGACTCAATTTATTATATATGTTCAAAATTAAATTTTATATTTATTAAATATCATTAATCAATTAAATTTTAATTCATCGACTATCTTTTTAAACCACGTTAACTTTGAAGAAGAGGGTGATGCACTCACCGGCACTTTTGGATGCATATTATCTTTTATAAAATAAAAAATAGAAGTTTTACGATGTTGGAGCCCCAAAGATTTCAGGGCACGGACGAGAAAATGAATCCCTAAAAGGACATTGAAGGGAAAAAAAAAAATCAAAGTAAGACAATTCCTATAACAATGTTTTTTTGTTTATGAATAAAGTCAATAATTTAAGTTTTAGTACATAATCGTATAACTTTTGATTTTATTCTCAAATTATTCTCCATTTCATTGCATCAATTAAGAAGAGATTAAAATTCTAAATTTATTCTAATTTTTTAAATAAAATCAAATATTTAAATTCAATTTTTTGAACACATTTTTAACATTAACATGATGCATTCACAATATAATTTTGATGTGCTCTCGTAAAAATTTAATTTTGATGGATAAAAAATTAAAAAGGTTAATTTTATACATTGATAATGAAAATTTTAATTTCATAAATAAAATTAACATGATAATACATATTTTATTATTTTTAAATATACATTAAAAAATATATATTATTATTTTATTCACTTATAAATTAAAAAAATTATATTATCAATGTATGAAATAGTTTTTCAAATAAGAAAGTCTTCTCTTTTTAATTGAATTGAATTTTCATAATTACGATTTAATTTTATATAAATTATTCAATTTTTTAAATTAAAATAAAATATAAATTTAAAATAAATGATTATAAATCGTACATTCAAATGAACCTCAACAAATAATTATCGATAAAATTTAAACATAAAATTTTTTCAAAAAAAAAAAATCTAAAACCAACAACTTGTCCAACCTTGTTATTATCAAAAAAAAAAAAAAATAGCGGAAGGCCAAAATTGGCAAATCAACAGAAGATTTTTAACTACCAGTCGAGTAACTAAAATTCCCTCCCAAATTTCGCCTACAATAAATTCCTCATACAGTAATTATCGATTTCTCCTCATCCAAAATGCAAAAATTAGCATCTTCCGACACCCTTCACCAACACTTCCCTCAGGGCCTCCATTATTCTCTTCTCAAATCCTCCAAATCCTTCCAAGAAACCCAACAATTCCACGCGTTTTCCCTAAAAACCGGCATTTTCTCTCACCCTTCAATCTCTTCTCGCCTCCTTTCTCTCTATGCCGACCCCAAAATAAACAACCTTCGCTACGCTCGCTCCGTTTTCGATCGAATCGAATACCCCACGTTGGTTCTCTGGAACATCATCATCAAATGCTACGTCGAAAACCAACAATCCCACGAAGCCATCTCCTTGTTTGTTGAACTGCTTGGGAATTTTCCGCCTGATGAATTCACGTTTCCTTGCGTGATAAAGGGATGTGCTAAATTAAACGCTGTAAAAGAAGGGAAGCAAATTCATGGGTTGGTTTTGAAGCTTGGCTTCGGATTAGATAAATTTGTGCAGGGAAGTCTCGTCAATTTGTATTCGAAGTGTGGCGAGATTGGTTTTGCTCACAAATTGTTTGATGAAATAGATGAGAAAGATTTGGTTTTATGGAATTCTTTGCTTGATGGGTATGCAAGGTGTAAGGAAGTCAAGCTTGCGATGAAGTTGTTTGGGGAAATGCCTGAAAAGGATTGTTTTTCATGGACGGTTTTGCTTGATGGGTTAGCAAAATGTGGGGAGGTTGAGACTGCTAGAGAGATATTCGAGAAGATGCCAAATAAGAATTTAGTTTCGTGGAATACTATGGTTTATGGGTATATGAAAGCTGGAGATGTTAATTCCGCTTGTAAATTGTTTAATCGAATGCCCACTAGGGATTTGATCACGTGGAATTCAATGATAGGAGGATTTGAGTTGAATTTACGCTTTTTGCAAGCTTTGAAGATGTTTGAGAGAATGTTGAAGGAGGAATTTAGGCCAAGTCACGCAACGTTAGTTAGTGTTATTTCTGCGGTCTCTGGATTAGCTAGTCTTGGTAAGGGGATATCAATACATTCTTATATTGTTAAAAGTGGAATTGAATTAGATGGGGTGGTTGGGACAGTGCTGATAGAAATGTATTCCAAATGTGGGAGCATTGATAGTGCTCTAAAAGTTTTTCGGACCATACACCATAAGAAGTTGGGGCATTGGACTGCTATAATTGTAGGCTTGAGTATTCATGGTATGGCTGAACATGCTCTGAAACTATTTCTTGAAATGTGCAGAATTGGTCTGAAGCCTAATGCTATAACTTTTGTAGGTGTGCTTAATGCTTGTAGTCATGCAGGATTGATTAATGATGGTCGTGGATATTTTAATTCGATGATAAATGAATATGGAATTAAACCTACTATAGAACATTATGGTTGTTTGGTGGACATATTATGTCGAGCTGGGCATCTTGAAGAAGCAAAAAATATCATTGAAGAGATGCCCATCAGACCAAATAAAGTAATTTGGATGACATTGCTTAGTGGTGCTAGGAAACATGGAAACCCAAAAATAGGTGAATATGCTGCTCAACATTTAATTGAATTGGCTCCAGAGACAACCGGGAGTTATGTTGTCCTTTCCAATATGTATGCTGTAGCTGGTGAGTGGGACAAGGTTTCTAAGGTAAGAGAAATGATGAAGACAAGAGGATTAAGAAAAGATCCAGGCTGCAGTTCAATAGAGCATAGAGGCGTGCTTCATGAGTTTATTGTGGGAGATAAATCACATCCCCAAACAAAAGAAATTTATTCCAAATTGAGTGAGATGAGAGAGAAGTTGAAATTTGCAGGACATGTTCCTGACACAAGCCAAGTGTTGTTGTGTATTGAAGAGGAGGAAGGGAAGGAAGCTGAATTGGAAAACCATAGTGAGAGGTTGGCTATTGCCTTTGGTCTCATCAATGTTGAAGCCGGATGTCCCATTCGCATCATGAAGAACCTTCGGGTTTGCAACGATTGCCATTCGGTCACTAAACTGCTCTCTAAAATCTATAGTCGTGAGATTATTGTGAGAGATAATAGTCGCTTTCATCATTTTAAAAATGGATTGTGTTCTTGCAAAGATTTTTGGTGATTGCCTCAGCTGTTGGTTGGCATTAATTCTTTTTTTCAACAGGACCGAATGGGAAGTCCTCATAACTTTAAGGTCTTCATGTATTGTGTCCATCATCACTTATGAGGGTTTATAAAAATGGCTAGGATATGTTTCTTGGGCTTTATTTATATCAACCAGAGAAGCCAACCTCTTACTGCAATTAAAAAAAATTGTATTCTTGAAGATTTTATGTCTACTGTGTTTAGAGTCTATTTTTATTATTTTACATATCAAGTTTGTTCATAAGGCAGCTAAAAAGACAAGTGGTAGAAATATCAGAAGTTGAAATTATATTCTATGAATTCTAAAATTTTAATATACCTCTATCAATATGCCTTATCAGAACCGAAACATGCCACAGTTATTAATCTTAAGTGTTGCAGAAAACGATGTTTCATTGCACTGACGCGTTAAGTTTTGTTGCAAGATCTCAAGAAAGATACTACTTAATGATACAATAGCTCCAAATGTAAGCAGTGAAATTACATCGGTACTGGAGTTACACGAAAACAGATACCACATAGTGATTAATGTTAAAGCTTTCAAAGACATATCTATCTCAGTTCATTTTCCAGGGACAAAGTTAGTGGCATAAGCCCATGCATTGTTGGTCACCGGATCAGAAAGGTGGTCGAAAAGGTTCTCAATGGGACCCTTTCCGGTGACAATAGGATGGACGAAGAATCCAAACATGGAGAACATTGCCAGGCGGCCATTCTTGATCTCTTTAACCTTCAATTCTGCGAAGGCATCAGGATCATCAGCCAATCCGAGTGGGTCAAAAGCACCATGTCATGAGCCAACCTTGTATAGGGCCATAACCAAGCATAGGATGTCATGACCACCAATGTATAGGGCCATGACTAGGTAGAGGTGCCAAGAAGAAGGGTAGATCTCATGTGCTAGAAAAAAGTGTTTTTATTTCAAACACTGTAATGATTTTTTATAGCATAACTGTAAAATCTCTTAAGCTCTTTAAAGGGGGTGAGCAGCATTTTGTTGGGTTGCCTCACTGACTAAAATATGTGCTAGACCTCTCATCTAGGGCTGCCTCTCTAGCCCCAATGATGGTGGGAAGACTCAATGCTTTTTTTGTACTTGTACTATTCTCGATATTAATAAAATATTTTTTTCTTACGAGAACACCAAAGGTTGTCTTGGTGTGTTCCCATTATGCCCTGGTATATCGTTATGCATTTTTTAGATTAACTTGTGACTTGTTGGTTGCCTATTCAAATATCAAGATATCCTTGGCTAACTTGCATGGAAGCGTCCATCCAAGTGTTGCACGATCTATTGCTTAATCAAGAGAAAGCTTAGCCCGTGACACGTGGTATCAAAGTACGATTGAAAAGTGCTAGATAATTGATAAAATGGCTATAAGCGGTGGATTTGATGAATGACAGAAGATCAAAGAGCTTGATACCGCGATGGCTGTCCTAAAAGCTCATGTGGTAACTCTTGATCAACTGAGGGATATCGAGACAGTCTAACGGGAGCTATCGATACTCTACATAGCTTGGGTGATGAGACCAGAGATGCCTTGAGTGTCCTCCAGAGAGAGTTTGAAAAGCTCAAGCCCTAAGTGAATGTGTTACAAATAGCTATGGCCAAGTTGAGTTTTAGCTCAATGGAAAAAGGGAAAAAGGCCAAGGTACCGAAGTCTTGATGTTATGAGGGGGCAAGAGTTGCCAAAGAGCTTGAGAACTTCCTATTTGACATAGAACAATGCTTTTGAGTTATGTATATAGAATTAGAGATAAGGTTACAATAGCTTCAATGTACCTTACCGATGATGCCAAGCTGTGGTGGCATTCAAATTTTGTAAATAATGAAAGCCTTATAAAAACTTGGGCAGATCTTAAGCAAATGTTGAAAAGCCAATTATTCCTTGAGAATATGGAGTACATAGCCTAAAGAAAGTTTCAAGAATTGGTGCAAATGGGAACGGTGAGAGAGTTTGTAAGGAGCTTTTCTACCTTAATGTTGGATATTAAAGCATGTCTAAAAAAGACAAGATATTTTATTTCCTTGAGGGCTTCAAACTTTAGGCTAAGACAAAATTGCCAAGGCAAAAGGTGCAAAACGTGGCCACTGCCATGATTGCCATCGAACGTTTTAATGACTATAATGATGACCCCTCAAAACAAAAAAACTTTTCGTAGGTGGTAGTAACTCTAACTTTGAGAAGAAGGGAAAGATGACCAAAGTGGACCGACCCTTAAGTAAGAGATCAAATATGAGGCTTTTTGGTCAACACAATACCTAAACCAAGGTAAATAATGCATCAAGTTTCAAGCCAAAGCAATTGCTAGCATGCTTTCTAGGTCAAAAGCTGTATCGAGTAGTTAAATACCCATATAAAGATGCCCTTAATGCCATGAAAGCCTTTTCTTAAGAGTCTTCCAAAACTCTCGAAACTATCGAAGAAGTTAAGAATGAGCTAGTAAGAATAGATTCAATATGGTTTCTTAGTGCCTTCCATATTTAACTAAACATGATAAAGAAAGAACCAGAGAGAGGTCTGATGTACGTTGACCTAGTACTTAATGATAAAATTATGGGAAAACACTTATTTACAGTTGGTTATAATATTATAATCTATATATTTATATTTGTATCTTTAGAATTAATGATAAAAAATTAAGATAGATAATCTCTCAATTATATGATCAATTTTAGGAAGATTTAGTTTATTAGTTTACCCATTAGTTAGTTATCTATAAACCTTAGGTGCTTGTATAATTTTTTATGAGTAGTTTTTTAATATACATTCAATGTTACTCTTAGTTTTTCATACAATTTTATTTTTTAGTTTTTTCATATGGTATCAAAATTTTAGGCTTTTTTGGGAAGAAAATTTTTTAACCTTAATTGCTGAATTCTATTTTAGGCCTTCATAGCCAAATCTTATTAAATCTTTTAGTCTTATTTTATCCTTATTTGGCCTTCATTGTCTAGAATCGTCTCTAGTTAAGCTTTTACTATCAAAACTTGTTTTATTCCTGAGAAAGATAACCATGCCAGAGAATGCAGAATCTGCCACTACTAGCCAATTTGAGAAAATGACAACTAGTAAAACCATCAAAGTACTACAAAGTCTAAGGAATAAAAAAAGTTAGAGAAAAGATTAAGATACTAAGAAGCCTATTGAAAAATCTTGAAAAGCCTAGTAGGGTATACTCTTTGGGTAAAGACTCTAGTTTAGGTAAAGTTTCTAGTTCTCATGGATTAAATGTCTCGATTAAGCCTATTATGAGTTCTTGAGTCATTAACTCAAGAGTCACAAATCATATGACGCATTCTTCATAGAAGTTTAGTACATATACCTATTGTCCTAGTAATACAAAAATTGTTATTATAGATAGTTCACTTACTACAATGGCAGGATTAGAAAATATTCAAATTAATCCCTTGTTTGTTCTTAAAAATATTTTTCATGTTCATGGATTGTCTACTAATCTGATATCTATACAAAAACTTACTAGAGACATGAATTACAAAGTGACCTTTTATTTCTCCTATTGTAAATTTTAGGACCAGAGTTTGGAAAAAAGAATTGAACTTGTTAAGGAAAATGATAGACTATACTATCTTAAAATATCAAACAACACAATTAATATCAAAAATAGTTTACATTTGTCATTTCTTTTTAAGAAACCTTCCAACAAAGATAAAATCTAGCTTTATCATTTTCGTTTTAGACCTTTTTTTTTAATTTTAAAAAACATGTTTCTTTCTTTGTTCAAAAAATTAAATGTAAAAAATTTTCATTGTGATGTTTGTAAAACTTACAAAGCATAGACATGTGTCTTTTCAGTTAGCAACAAAAGAAGTTCTATTCCTTTTTATTTGATTCATAATGACATATAAGGTCTTTCTACAATTCTTAATATTTCTAGTACAAGATATTTTATTTTTTCATAGATGATTGTATTAGGATCTTTTGGATATTTTTACTTAAATCTAAATCAAATGTGAATAGCATATTTTTAAGCTTCCAAAATATGATCCAAAATTAATTTAGAGTAAAAATTAATAGATTTAGGTTTGATAATACAAGAGACTATTTCAACTAAAGTTTATCTACCTATTTTCAAAATAAGGAGATTATCTATAAGTAATTTTGTGTTAATACCCTACAGTATAATGGAGTAGCAAAAAAAAAATCATTTACTAGCCATAACCTAAGTTTTACTTTTCAAGCAAATGTACCAAAATCATACTAGGGGGAAGCTGTTCTCACTATCACATATATTATAAATAGGTTACCTTTAGGAGTTTTGGGATTTAAAACTCTTATGGTACTACTCTCATAATTCTATCCCAATTTTAATACCACAAACAATCTCATACTTAAGATATTTGATTGTACATCATTTGTTCATGTTCACAGTCATAATAAGAAAAAGTTTGATCTTAGAGCAATTAAGTATATTTTTGTGGGGTACTCATCAATTTAGAAAGGATATAAGTGCTATCATTCTCCTATAAAAAAGTTTTGTGTCTACAAATGTCACTTTGAAAGAAAGTAAACCATTTTTTACTCAACCTTATCTTTAAGGGGAGACATCATTCATGAAAAATAAGGATAAAAACTTTTTTTTGCTCAATTTATCCGTCTCTTTAACATTTTCACTCATTAATTCTTTTAAGTCTAAACCTATTTCTTCTAAGTCCAAGTCAAATATTGAATTTGAGTCTAAATCCATTCCAAACATAGAAGATGTGACAAAAGAAAATATTATTCTTTATTCTATGAAGGAATTACAAGTGTACTCAAGAAGACAAGTTTTAGATCCTGAACCAGTGAAAGTCTAAAAACCTGATTCTAACTCTGAAAATAAAGTAACTACAATCTTTGACTCTATTTCTCAAAATGAGCATGAAATCTCTTAAAATTATAACTGGAGATTATAATTTGCCTATTGCCATTAAGAAAAGAATTGGAGAATGTATTAAGCATCCACTATATCCAATCTTTAATTTTGTGTCATTTAAAAAATGCTCACCATCCTATAAAAATTTCTTGTGAACCAAAACACTATATCTATTCCAACTACATTATCTGAAGCATTATCTAGTGAGAAATTGAGGCAAGTCATGAAAATAAAATTAGAGGCCTAAGAAAAAAATAAAACATGAGAACTGATAAAGTTGCCTAAAAGAAAAAATTCAGTTGGATGTAAATGGGTTTTCATTATAAAATACAAGGTAGATGATATTGTTGAAAAGTATAAAGCTAGGTTGGTAGCTAAAGGCTACACTCAAACTTATAAAGTGAATTATCAAAAAACTTTTGCTTCAGTTATCAAGATGAATACAATTAGGATTTTGTTATCATTGGCTACAAATTATAATTAGCAGCTTTAACAATTTGATGTAAATAATATTTTTTTACATAATGATTTGGAAGATGAAATATATATGAAGGTTTTACCCCGATTTAGAGGTCATCTAGAAGAAAATAAAAGTATGTAAGTTGAAAAAGGCTTTATATGGCCTTAAATGATCTCCTAAGGTTTGGTTCGGGAGATTTGTCAAAATAATGCTAGCAATAAGATATAAGAAAAGTCAAGGGGATCACACATTATTTATCAAGCACTCTGATTTAGGAAGAGTCACAGTTCTATTAGTGTATATTAATGATATAATTTAATTGAAGATGATGACAAACAAAAAAAATCTCTAAAATAGTGTTAGGTTAGAGAATTTGAGATAAAAAAGCTAGAGAGATTGAAGCATTTTCTAAAAATTGAAGTAGCTCACTCATGACATAGTATTTTTATCTTATAACAAAAATATATGATGGATCTTTTGAAAGAAACTGAAAAGCTCACATATAAACCTGCAAATATCTTTCTAGATCCTAATCATAAATTTAAAAAAATTAATGAAGATGCTACTGTAGATAGAGAGATATAACAGAGATTAGTTAAAAAACTCATTTAGCTCTCACATACTAGACCTGATATAATATATGCTGTGAGTGTGATAAGCTAATTTATGTATAGTTTTAAAAGAGTTCACCTAAAGTTGTCTACTGTATATTGCACTATTTGAAGGCCAATCTTGGAAAAAGTATCTTATTCAAAAAATATTTGAGGCTAGTTCTATAAGCATATATGATATGGATTATACAGGTTCAGTAACTAATAGAAGATTCACCTTAGGCTATTACACTTTTCTAGGTAGTAATCTTGTGACTTAAAAGAGTAAAAAATAGAATGTGATGGTAAAATTAAATGCTGAAACAGAGTTCAGAGCAATGGCTCAAGGAATTTGTGAACTACTATAGTTAAAGATTATTTAAAAACTTGAAGATCAAGTAAAATGGATCAATGAGACTCTATTACGATAACAAGTCTATAATAAGCATTGCAAATAAGCATTGCACATAATCTTCTGCAACATGATAGAACAAAACACATTGAAATAGACCTATATTTCATAAAGAAAAGCTAGACAATAGGTCAATTTGTACACCATATGTATCAACCAAATGTCAATTTACAAATATGTTGATAAAAGGTCTCAGTAATGCAACATTTCAAGAAATTATTTTCAAGCTAAGAATGAAAAACATATATTCATCAGCTTGAGAAAAAGTGTGAAAATACACTTATTTATAATTAGTTGTAATATTATAATCTGTATATTTATATTTGTATCTCTAGAATTAAGTATTTGTATTACTAGAATTAAGGACATAAAATTAGGATAGACAATCTCTTAATTATATGATCAATTTTTAAAAAATTTAGTTTCTTGGTTTACCTACTAGTTAATTGTATATAAACTTAAGGTGTTTGTATAATTTTTTATGAGTAATTTTTCAATATACATTCAGTTTTACTTTTAGTTTTTTACATAATTTTATTTATTAGTTTTTCATAAAAACCATAAAGGTTATGGTTGATACAGGTGCAACCAATACCTTCATCATACTGAAAGAAGCAAAAAGATGTATCTCAAAGTTAATAAGGATTGTGGGCAAATGAAATTAGTTAACTCACTAGCCTTTACGATCAATAGAAGCTCCAAGAGTGTGATGACCGAGTTAGAGCCATGGAAAGCAAATGTAGACTTTATAGTTTCTCCTATGGATTACTTTGATGTTATTTTAGGATTGGACTTCATGATGTTGGCTCAGACGATTCCAATCCCGCTACTAATTGTCTATTGTTCTTAAAGGAATGCTCGTGTATTGTTCCAGCCATGATCCTCTCTAAGAGCAGGAAGAAAATGAATTTAGCATTACAATTCAAGAAAGGGATAAGGAAATGAAAGCCCTTATATATGGCCATGTTGATTTCCAAAGATAGGATTGAGCTGGAACCAGTACCCGATGAGATACAAAAAGTATTGAAAGAGTTTAAGAATATGATGCCAAAGCAATTGCCCAAGGTTTTACCTCTTCGAAGATAGGTGGACCATGAGATTAAGCTTCTCCAAGGATTTAAGCCACTAACTAAAGGCCCATATTACATGGCTCCACTAGAGCTAGTTGAATTGAGAAAATAATTAGATGAGCTCTTACAAGCTAGATTCATTAGACCATCGAAAGCATCATTTAAGACACTTGAGCTATTTCAGAGAAAGTATGATAAGAGTTTACAGTTATGTGTGGACTACATGGCCTTAAACAAAGTCATTACGAGAAATAAATATCATATTCCATTTATTGTGGATTTGTTTGATCAACTAAGTCAGGCCAAATACTTATCCAAATTGGACTTGAGATTTGGCTATCATTAGGTTAGAATTGCTGAAGAAGATAAGCCAAAAACTACTTGTATAATGTGGTATGGTGTATTTGAATTTTTTATTATGCCTTTTAGATTGACTAATGCCCCTGCCACATTTTGCACCTTGATGAATCAGGTGTTCCATGACTATCTTGGCAAGTTTGTGGTCATTTATTTAGATGACATAATGGTCTATAGTTCTACCTTGGAAGAGCATTAAGAGCATAGGGGTCTTGTGTTTTAAAGACTACAAGACCATCAATTGTATATTAAAAGGGATAAATATGTATTTTCTCAAACATGGATTCATTTCCTTGGCCATATTGTTGAACAAAGCCACATTTGAATGAACATGAAAAAAGTTAAGGCTATTAAAGAGTTGGCAACATCAAAAAATATCAGTGAACTTCACTGATTTTTTAGATTGACCAATTATTATAGGAGATTTCTGAAAGGGTACTCTTGTAAAATCATAACCCTCATGGAACTATTGAAAAATAAGCATAAATAGTGTTGGACAACTAAATGTCAACAAGCTTTTGAGGGCTTGAAAAAAGTCGTGATGAAAGATCAAGTCTTCGCTCTCCCTAACATTGAAAAGATTTTTGAAGTTCAAACAAATGCATCTAATTTCACTATTACAAGAATGATACCCGATAGCATTTGAAAGTTAAAAGTTGAGCAAAGCCAAAAAAAGATATACGGCTAAAAAGAAAGAGCTCCTAGCAATAATCTATTGTTTAAGAGCATAGCGACATTATTTATTAAGTTCACAATTCATGCTTAAGACAGACAATGTTACGGTTAGTCATTTTCTCACCCAATCGAGGCTTACAATTAAACAAGCTAGATGACAAGAGTTTCTAGTCGAATTTGAATTTTATTTTGAGCACACAGCTGAAAAAATCGATGAAGTGATAGATGCATTAAGTAGACAAGCAAAGTTGGTTGCCGTTAGGAGAATCGCCTTGATGACGGCTAGTAAAGTCAAGATAGATCTTCACAAAGCTAATTAAGATAATATGAAGAAAGACTCACAAGCTAATGCTATCTTAAAGCTAGTAGAAGAAGGGAAGTACAAGCACTTTTGGCAAAAAAATAGGTTCTTATTAATAAAATGTCCTCGATGGTTTGTGCCAAAAATAAAAGGTTTGAAACAGATACTAATGAGAGAATGCCACAACACACTGTGGGTTGGTCACATTAGTTGCAACGTACTTTGGCTTTACTGAAACAAGGCTATTATTGGTCTCACATGTGACAAGATGTGATGGATTATATGAAAACTTCCCTCATTTGCCAATAGGACAAAGTCGAAAAGAAAAAATCGACAGGCATGCTTGAACCACTACATGTGCCCACGAGACCTTAGGAAAAGATCTCTCTTGACTTAATATCAGGCTTTCCTAAAGTTGATGATCTTGGATCTATTTTGGTAGTGATTGATCGTTTCTCGAAATATGCCATGTTCATTCCAACCTAAAAGTATTGCACCGCAAAAGACATAGCCTATCGAATATTTAAACACGTAATCACATATAGGGGCCTTCTTCAAACCATTGTCAATAATAGGGATCCGAGATTCATTGTGTCATTTTAGAGATAACTTTTCAAGATCTTGAGATCTCAGCTCAACATCTTTTTAAGTTATCACCTGCAAACTGATGGTTAGACCGACGATTTAATGGGTTGTTAGAAGAGTACCTAAGACACTTTGTTTAAGCTAATAAGAAAAATTGGCCTTCAACAACTCATAGTTAGCTTTGTTTTAATTCCAACAAGTGTTCTTCCATAAACAAGAGTCCATTTGAAATGGTCACTAGATAATTACCAAAACTACCGCATACATCCCTTAAGCCATATCAAGGGAAGAGTCCGCAAGCTTTCAACCTTAGCAAAGAATAGAGAGAGAACATAGAAATTGCATAAGCATACTTAAAAGAAGGCATCAAAGTGCATGAAAAAATAGGCAAATAAAGGTCGAAGGGTACAACAATTCAAAGTTGGTGATCTTGTTCTTATTAGATTAGTGCCCAAACAAACCAAGTTCCTAAAAAAAGGGGATCGTAGGTTAGTGCATAAGTATGAAGGTCAAGTGAAAATCCTTTTCAAAGTAAGGAATGACTCTTACAAAATTGACTAGCCAAAATGGATGAAGGTGCATCTAGTGTTTCATATGAGCAACTTAAAGGCTTATTATGCAGACCCCTAGATACAAGTCGCACTGAATCAACCAGGGCTACCATTACCATAAAACCACTATCAAAACATCGAGTTAAAGAGATTTTAACTAACGAGATATCCCGAGTAGCACGAGCACCGCAACAAATATGTTTCGGTTGGCTTAAAATGAGCCAAATTGCTACTAGCCTACTAGGATGCCGTGCTGTACAAATTGATTTTTTTTTCCATAGTCCGTTGTTTCACAAGATTTGATTACCTATATTTAATCAGACGGGAAATTCTTTATAACACGATACTACTAAATAGTACAAGGAAGTAACAACAAATAGGTAATATACCAGATGCTGGTGGGGGCACTTTTCACAGTTCGGCGCACGGTAACACGACCAACACCGAAGGCACCGACCTTGCGGACAAGCTCATTGGACTGCTACAAAGAGGTGTGGCCAGCGAAAGCAGATTGTTGGATAGCAGAGGTTGCCATGGTGATGCCGGAGAGGGCTTTTGGCAAGAGTTGTTTTTGTTTGCGGATGGCTGCTGCGCTGAGTCCTACTTTGGCTTGGAGGAGAGAAGGGGTTATAATGGAACTGGAGAAGATGTTGTGGATCAGGAAATGTACATGTCAGCACCAGTCCATCGGTTGTTTGCATTGAATGTGGATTCCCATGTCAAAGCATTTTAAAGAATCCTAACATTGATCCATAGCTTTTGGACAAAAATGAAAATGGGCTGGGCTAATTGCTTTTAATAAATTTAGATATAAAGAACAGAAGACTTGAATAATCCATGGGTTCAGATACTCATTTTTAATATTCGCAATTATAAACAGATGGTAAAGAATACCAACAGGAGATGCATTTCAAGTTGCTAGATTCTAGCGGAAAGTCCGGGCAATGTCAGGTTTGACATAGTAGGAAAAAGAGGCAACAAGAAACAGTGAAAATGGAATCCACAACAGCGAAACACGTGGCCAAGTTCTTCCCCTCGGGAACCGATACTGAGAGCTATTATTTGACCTCAATGATTCGCCTGAAGCAGAATCTGCAATGTATTTAACAGCAAGACCGGACCCACACAGATAAGCAGAGTAAATAAAGCAGAAACCCCATTGCAACACATTTAGCCTCTCGTAGTCTGCTAAACTTTTCAACAACTCAACCAGGAGCACCAGCATAGCCATAACAGCTCCCACTGCCATCAAAAACCAATGACTACTGGGCATAACTACTAATGCATTGCTCCCCATTGCGAAGCCCTTGGCAATGAATTGATTGAAGACTTGGCTTAGTGTGAAAACAGTGAAAATCATGGTCTTTAGAACATCGTTGCTCATATGGATTATAGCTTGTCCTATAAACTGCAAGAGCAGCAAATAAGAGGCATCTGATAGAACTCGGATCACTATGTTTCTCCACATGGTTTTGGTTAGTAGTGACTCAGTCCTCGCTGGAGGATTGTTCATTAGTTCCTGGCCTTGTTGTAACTCCATCACCATCATTAGGCCACCTAGGATACAAATAATGCAATTCACCCATATCATATGAATTCCTGTTATTGGGGATTCATCTAGAACTATTGTTGTGACAAGGGTTACCAACAAGCCAGAAAGGCTAGCAGTCAGCTGGATTTGGATGAAAGTCTGAACATTCCCATAAGCACATCGACCGATCTTCAAGATGGGACTTAATGAACTTATAGATGAAATAACAATGTCAGAGTTCTCTCTGGCCATGTTAGTGCTACAAGCACTCCCTGTGATTCCTACATCAGCTTCCTTCAGAGCTGGAGTATCACCTGTTGTCATCCCCCCAATGAACGCCACTACATGGCCTCCCTGTTTCAAACATTGTAAAATATGAATTTTGTCCTCAGGTTGGCAACTTCCTATCACGGCAACCTTGTCCATTTTTGCTGTAGTATCTTTTTTAACATCTTTCCCTTCAATTGCCTCACTATTTGAAGCTGGATCAAAGATTCCCAGTTCAGATGCCATCTTTTTCAGTGCTGGGAGCTCATCCTTTGACACCAACTTGCAGCTTACTCCTGCTTCTTTAAGAGCTTCCACCGCTGATTTGAACTCTTCCTGACTTGCAAATTGCGCAACATCTATGTTGCCATGCATTTGCTCAACATCTATGTTACCATCCATTTGCTCAATTGTCAAATCAAAGCAAATAACTGAAACAATGCCTACTGTGCCACAAGATGATAAATTCTGCAAATTAGCCTCCTCTTTTGACAACTTCTTCTTCCAGTGTAAAAAGGAAGCTGCAATCACAACTGACATTCCATGTTGTAATGAAGCTACTGTAGCAGTAAGAGCACTTGTCAATATTTGAACTTTACCTCTAGGCTTCAAGAAAATCATTTCAAGGATTTTTATCAGCTTGTGAGCTGAAACATCCCCCTTTAGCTCAGGAAGTATGTTACTCTTTTTGTCCTGCTTCCTGAATAGCAAGTTGATTAGCACTAATACAGAAATTAGTACAGAGGTAGAAAGTGCAACATTTTCCATATAAGCATTGGTCTTATCAATCTGAGCTTCTGTCAATGTCTTCTCATCGGGATCAGGCGTAACCAAGCTCAGTGCTCTACCCAACAATGTTTTAGCACCCACCGACGTTACACACATGCTACCTTCGCCATCAATGACTTCTGAGCCAGAGAAGAGAAATGGATCCTGACGATTGATTTTAGGATGCAATTTGTCATCCAACTCCAAACCATTTCCATTAACATAAAAACCATCAGCAGGAATTAGATCCCCCTTCTTCAAATGTAAGATGTCACCAACCATAAGACTAGATTTTGTGATGGTTTGGCGTTGTCCACGTCTTTCAACTTGTACTTCCGATTTGCTCCACTTCTGCAACTTCCTCTGCCGCTTTCTTTTTCGGCGATAATTAGCCACTGAACGGAAAGTGACTAGCATAAGCACAGCAACAAGTATTGCAACCCCATCATGCCACCCATATTTGGCTTCTTGCTCCATCATCTCAACGGTAAAGGACAAGGCAGCGGAGACCAGGAGAAGAAAAATAGTAAGATTTTTGCAAGCTTTCAAGAAGCATAGAAGGAAGTCCTTTGCATGAACAATGTGCTTGGTAATGGTCCAGGCAGCTTGTTCCTCTTCAGAGCTGCGTCTAGTATATTCTTCCAAATAAAATTTAAGGCGCAATTCAACTGGTTCACCAACAAGAAATTTTTGCAGGGAGATCAAGTCTCTCTCTCTCACAATCCGAGCAATTTCTTCCGAAGTACAAACTTCATCATCAACTCCTTCATGTTGCCCCTCTTCTGCTTCAGGAATGTCAATTCTAATGTCTTCTTTAGAGCTAGCTGGCAGGCACAGAATTTGATGGTGATGAAGGCAACTTGAGATCAAGTCCATCTCCAAGGAGCTCCTCCTGCACTTCAGGATCACAAGGCAACTCTTGATGGGTTTTTCTGAGAGAAATGAAAATGCGAATTTGAACAGAAACCCAAAAGATTCGATGCCAATTCTTCCGAGAAGATTTTGTGGTGTTAATGTTGATTAAGCTGGCATAAAGAGTATTGCCCCCATACTTATTACAACCTTGATTGTTGCTTGTTGATGCCGACATGTCTTACACAGTTGAGCAGGAAAAGGAACCTTAAACACGAACCAAACGGAGAAGCAGATACGATGAAGGCTAAGCTCTTGCTCAAAGTTGTTTAACCAAATGCAGGTTTTGCTTTGCTGTAAAAAGAGAGTATCCAAAATTCAAGAAAATAGTTTCCTTTGAGACATAATAGCCTTGATTTTTTCAATGTTGGGCATTTCCCAATAATTAAAATATGAATAGTAAATAAATACTTGAACTTTTTTGCAACTGAGGAACCAAAAAGGGCCAACAGCTCCGAAGTTAACATGCTTAACATGCTGTGGCTTTGTTGAGCCTTTATACAAGAGCTAGAGTTATGTAAAAACTATTTCAGCATTTAAATCTATAAAATTGCATATAAAACATAATACGTGAAAAATAATTTGTTATCATAATTGAGGTCAAAATCTGTCGTGGTTATTCAAGTTGTCGTTAGATATCCAACTTCACGACCACGAGTGGGGCAAAAGCGAATTACAAACGCATCATCTATAAAAATATCATTCAAAAAATGTTAAGATAAAGTCGATCTACGGACACAACAACAGTCGACACAATAGCAATGGCGTCAGGAATCCCCTCAGGCAGAGTATCATGCCATGAACAACACGACAGATTTTTTTTTCGTCAACAATCATCAATAAACAATTAAGAAATGTTTAACTAGTAAAAGAAATCATACACTTACAGGGAGATCTAAGACCTAATGATGCAGTGTCCGTCCCTGCAGAAAATCTTCATAACCATGGCTTTCCTTTCTGGGTATATTAGCACTATATTTATAAATAACAATGACTTTCCTGGAATTTAGCGTTACTCGTTTTGTTAGGAAGAGACGGCACTCTGTTAATTACAACAGTCCCTACCAACGCGTCCAAATCCGTACTAGAATATACAACCTGCTTCCTTTCTCTCTTTTTGTTGCACTTGTTGGCGACGGCTTTCCTTTTTCTCTCTCTTTCTTCCTCAATTTCCCTTCTGTCTCCCCGATTCAGTCACATGTCTGTCCACCAAATCCCCTACGAATCTAAATATTCCACCCTCATATTCTTGAATGGAAAACCTTTCCAAAAAAAAAAAAGAGTTTAAGGTATAGAAATTGGAAGTAGACTTTTCTCATTTCTCATTAAAAAAGAACGCGTTTTACATGGTCGGTTTCTTGCTTTGCCAAACACCAACGTAAACGATTACACAAATGATAATTGTGGGCATTGTCACCATAGGCCTTGAAATGGAAGAGCTTGGAACTCAAACATGATCTTTTACAGGGTTAGTTTCTTGCTTTGCCAAACACCAACCTTAATGATTACACAAATGATAATAATCTCGTCAACTGTCTGTCTGATTCTGTTTTTCATTTTTTATTTTTTGAAAATGTTTTTTTTTTATTATTATCTTTGAGGGACATTTGAACAATTATATTTGAGATTTTAAGTTAGGAAATTAAGAATGAAATCCATAAGAAATTTACTTCTCTTTCTTTAACTAAAATCCAATTATAGATCAAAAAGAAAAAAAAAATCTATTTTATAAAAAACATCTTTGTTGTTAAAAGAAAAACTATTTTCTAACAAAAATATCATGACACTTTCATAACTTTTTTATGTAATTCTTAATACTTTCAGTCACCAACACATGCCACCAAAAAAGATACATAAAAAAAAAAATGTAACATGCTTCCATGATGGATTGAATAAGAGCAAAAAAGGGAATAAAAAAATGATTATACAAATAGTATTAAAGACTAAATCCAAGAATCTAATCATTATCAGCCCTAATAATATGTCTGTCGTACCATTGGGGAAAGGCCTTTTCTATCTTGACATCATCCTCCTGTATACGTCCCAGCATGATCGCAGTCAAAATTAGCCTCCCCGCATACGGGAAATCCCTATGTTGCATCAATATTGCCTCCACAGACGATGGCGTTTCCTTCAAACCGGATGCTTCTGAGTTTTCTTGTCTTGGTGGCAGCACTCGATCAAATCCGTCTTCCATGGTTTCTGCATTCGGATCATAACACCTATTTGAAGCCTGGAAAAGCATAGTTCGATTAAGCTGTTGCAAGATTTCATCGTCACTCCACGCTTCGGTAACAGATGCTTGATAGAGTTTGCTCCAAGGATCCTGATCAGCAGCGTTCTTCCGGCACTCTTCTAAAAGGTTTCTATGGCTCTTGCAAAATGATGACCTAGTCCATGCAAATACATCAAAAGCCTGCAAAGCTCGCTCTTGGCTTCCGCTTTTGAGACACAGCTGAATGAGCTTCTCAGGATGAAGGAGCTGCTTTTCAACACGTTGCTTCGTGTAATCAGTGGGAAGAACTTCTATAATTTCTTCCTGCAGAAGATAACAAAAAGATAGGTGCATATACCAGTGCATATACCAGCGCACTTAGAGCACTATGGTTACATAATATAAAAGATGGAGTTATTAAACCGTGCATTAAATGATACAAGAAGAATACGAAGGATGGAATTTCCATCGTGCTTGCTTAAGTAGTTTAACATGATGATAAGAGGTATACAATATCCTCCTTTTACATGTACATGGCAGCATCTCCAGCTTATAAAGACTTTAAGAAACAATTTAGAATTATCAATGACTAAAAAGTAGAAAAGTTTCATCCATGGACTGTATGTTCACAAGTAAGGATGAAAAGGGATTAGGTTACTCGGAGCCACTTGAGCTCAGCTCAAGCTTAACTCATTGACTGTTGAGAACTAACAGAGCTCAAGCTCTAGTAGCTCAAGTAACAAGTAGAACCGAATTCAAGTGTTTTAATACTTAGCTCAAACAGCTTGTGAACCCAATTCAGTTTGCGAATTTTTTTAATAATGTAATATATACATCTAAAATTATTAAGCAAATTTCTATCTCGAACTTGAGCTTTTCATTATCTCAATTCAGCTAAGCTTAGTTGCAACCCTGTTGAGGAGGTATATAACAAGCTAATATGAATCAATAAAGGTTATGGCATGATATAAGCAAGCAATAATAAGAAACATGGTCACTTTAAAGATAAACACAGGGAAAAAGATTCTCCTTGAATGCAACAAACCTGCAATCTCAAAATCTTTAAATCAGCTTCTATTTCTTTCACTTTTGTCTAAGAGTCAGCATCCTTACCTGATCATTAAAAGATAAAGAATCAAAAAGGATAAAAGGGAAATCAAAGAGAGATTTTATAAGCCTAATAGTAAGTGCTTGTTAAAAATATATTTTTTAACTTCTGAAAAATGGAAAATAATAAAAGAAGCAAAGATAGAGCAAGAATAACTATCTACAAATGATAGCAGTACTTCAGGTAATCCTTCCATGACCTTTTCCTCATTTTCAATTTTCATCAATATATTTTTTCAAGATTTCTCTACTAAATCAGCATTTTACGTCAAAAAAGATGAAACTTTCCCATAAAACAGAAAATAAATTCAATGGAAAATATGAACCAGAATGCAGTCAAGAAATAAATGACAAATGGGAAAAGAGATCACCAGCAAAGGCAGCTATCTTGGAGGGGTTCAAAAGTCATCTCCTGTAAGTCAATGTCCGTACAGAATTTGCCAGAATGCAATCAAGAAATAAATGACAAATGAGACGATAGATCAGCAGCAAAGGCAGCTATCTTGGAGAGGTTCAAAAGTCATCTCCTGTCAGTCAATGTTGGTACAGAATTTGCATGGTCAGAATTAATTTCATCTTGAGAAAGAGCCAATACATGAAGAGTTCTGAAGCTGCTGAAAATTGATGAAGAAACATTTCACGAAACCATAGAAGATCCCGATAATGATTTAAGAAAATAGATAACTCTTGCTGGAATTCCTCCCCAAGCTTTAGTAGCTTAGAGAATTGCTTATTTTCACATAGCTGTTTGAACACAAAGCATAACCGATAATCTAAAGTTATTGCAGAAAAGCAATGATGCAAAGATAGAGGGAGAAAGCAGAGAATAGAGGGAAAATCAGGCCGAAAAGGATGAAGGAAAAGAGGAATTTAAGAAAACTTTTGAAAAAGAAGGGAGAGGAAGATAGAAAACCAAGACTCAAATTTTACTTCAGATATCTCAATAATTAAAAGCTACTAGAAACAAAATAACATAGGTACTTATAGACCATATCCTAAACCCTAACCCAAATTTGAAATACTAAATACATGCCAAATACCCTAATAACTCTCTCAATACTAAAAAAACACTTGAACACACAAAAATACACAACATTGAACATGTTTGCAAATTCTTGCAGGACAAAAATCAAAATATCATTTCTTTGTTCCATTGACATGCCAACTTGAAGCAAGCACCGCTTCGGAAAGTGTAGGGAGATTTGCCAAAAGTTGCAAATACTGATGAACAATGACAGAACATGCTATTTCCTACCTAAGAGGGGCAAAAGCATAGCAGATGTTCAAGAAATCAATGAACCTAAACAAGAAAAGTGTGACAAGGCAAACAATCATATGCATACCATAAGATTTCTGAGCAATCCTTAATCATTGAGATCACAACATATGTCCCACATGGTCTGGTAGCCTCCATGTCGTTTTGCTGTCAAGAGCAAGCTTGAAGATAGTTTTCTAAGGATTTCTTCTCTGTCCTCTTCTGTGCCATCAGTTATGTCCTGCAAGGATAAACAATTCAATGATGTATAGACAAGGACAACATGGAATAAAAGAAGACAATACTGTGCCTGATGCCCAGCTTCTACAAAACCTTTAACTTGTAGATAAAGGAATCAAGAACTGCATCCCTTCTACTCCAATACTCCTTTAGAAGACCTTTGTGTTCTCCTCGCTCCATTTTAGCAGTTATAGCACCACTAGACGCCCCAAGTAGAACTTCAGTCAATGCTTCTAGATGAGAATATAGTTCTGATTTTGCTGGCATATCAAGTTCAGATGTTTCCCTTAACAGCTGAAGCATGAAAGAAGCAATGCTCCACAGCCCATTACGCAGTACCAGTTGACAATACCAAGGAGTTAAGCCCTCCAGTGGTGGAAACCAGAGGTGATACTCATTTTTGTAGTCCATGGCAACTCTAAATATAGTAACACATGCATTTGAGAGTTCGCAAGCTCTACATATCTGAAATCCAACTGGTTGCTCCAAGCTGATTATATATTCTAGATGTCTTTCTAAGCAATAAAATATCTGTTCAAGATCAGAGACCTTGCTATAGAAAACTTCAGCGTTATCTCTGTCCATCAAAAGGACAGTATTTCACCAGGCCCTCTCCCCAACTAACTAAATAAGATCCCTAAGAGCACTGGGAACTTGATTCTCAAAACTTGAATGTGAGGAGCCAACTCCAGTTGAACAGTTTTGGCTAATCACATTCTGTGGTTCCCTGAGTCGAATAATTGCAGAGAGCTTTTCACCATGTTCTAAGATGATTTGCAAAGAATGTCCTGCCAAGAAAGCAATAAGTTAGGATGATTTCTCTCTTGTTGCCTGTTCTTTTATCATAAGGCAAGACAGCCATTAAATAAATTATTTCACTTTACCAATGAGACAATTTCCGTAGATTTGTACTAAATGCAAAGGAAGGCGAAGAAATTGCAGTCAGATATAGCATCAAGAATAATAACCTGCTCACATGGTTCACTTCAGAGAATGTCTGGCAATGAAAACAGTATATATTGCAGCCCAAAGAAAGAATCTAAGATGCTACTCAAATATCAAAATATCACCACCAGGAAAAGCTAAGAATCTAAATTGCTGCTCAAAATTCAAAATGTGACCCCCACACACTAATAACAACTGAAAATGAAGTCACCTCTGCAACTTTTTACATATTGCAACCAAGAAATGCCCAGCTAAGTCTGCAATGTTATAAGTCAACATATGTGCTAAATAACAGTTCAGAGACCAAACAAAGAGCAGATTACTAGTCAGAGTTTATATGCAGTGTACCAAGAAACACGATGGAGACTACATAGTTTTGTGTGCAATTAAACTCAAAAGGAAAAAATGAAAAAGAATAAGAAAAAAAAAGTGAATCAAGAATAAAATGCAGTAGTAAAAGCAATGAAACAAGTGGCAGATCATACTCTGTCCAGAACATAACTCTTCATGGCACTTGGATAAAGCAAGAAACTGGAGAAATTTTGTATGCTTCTGCAGCTTATCCATGAGTTGAGCTGATATAATACCCACAGCAACAATTTCAGCTCCTCTAGTAGTTGTCAAGTGTTTAGCTAAGGTGTCAGCAATTGATTTGCTTGTCCGTACAAAAGTTTCTCCATCCCTTTTGAATGCCCCAGAACTCTTAAGCTTTTCTAGTGCTCCATCAACCTTCCCAGATATTAGAAACTCATGGAAAATTTGACCTAGTAAAGCTTCTGATTCTCCATCTTGGGCAGTTTGTCATGTAATCCCAGTCATACCACTCAGTCTATCACCAGCATCCCATGCATCTGAACTAGCCCTTCTAGGAGCAATACTGCCTGCAAACATAAGATTCCTTCTCTCTTCTTGGGCAGATCCTTCATTTAAGCCCCCCTTGCATGACAAGTTTCGCTCAGGGGGTTCGCACCATCTTCCCCATCATCATTAGATGGAAGAACAGAAACATCTAGAACTTTTCCAGCATCATAAGGCAAGTCAAATTGATAGAGCCTAGTAGAATTTCTATAATAATGGGAGACTGTCACAGTTCCTTAACCAGAAAGTATGATTGCTGATCCTGAGGGCTTGCGCCCTACTCGAAGTCTCATGGAGAATAAGAAGTCCTCGTCTTCTGCCAATGCTTTTGGAATTATCACTTGGATTGGAGCCTTTTTGTCTAAAATCCTTTCATGTACATCAGAGGATAAGCTCACCTCCGACATGTATTGCACAGTCAAAAGAGAATATTGGGTGTAACTTGAGATGCTAACCCGGTCCTTGCAGAAGGTGGCAACAAGAACAGTAGTCACTTTACCATGATCATCCAACTGCAGGTCCAGAGGCCAGATTCTTTTCTGTCCAGCCAGATCCTTCTTAATACCCAAATCACCGTCGTTACCAACTATTTCCTGAGACCAAAGGTTTGATAACTTTAAATCAGGAAAGAGTTTGATGTTAAAACATTGTATTTCATGATCAGTCAGTAGAAAAAATTGGCAGTTGGAGTCTGAAACAGAGAAGTATGGAAGACGCCATATCATTGACCTTGGATATCCCTTGCTCCCAACAAGTTGACCAATACCAGAGCCTTGGGATGATAAATTTTGTATGTTCTGATTTACTTTATTACGTTGAATGCCACTGGGGCTGCAGCAAATTTGCCAAAGCTTGCCGCTGGAACAACATGCAAAGGCAACACATGCATTTTGGGTACCAGGAACTGCAGAAGCAATCAAAGAGTTGAAAGAACTTGAACCAGTAAAACTCGTTCCATGCCTGGTACATTGTTGCTGCCTGTTTGGAGTGCTGTTTCCGTCAATAGGTGAAGTCACCAATGATTCATCAGAAGATGCAAAACTGATAACAGCAACATTTCCCACATCAGTAAAGATGTCAGACCATAGTGATGTCCCACATCAGCTTGAGTTTTTTGGTCACACAAAACAATACCAGCAGAGTAGTGATGCTTTGCAACTCTGTTACTTTTGAGGTGCTATCCCACTTGACAACAGAAAGCAACCAACCAAGTATTAGGGTGATACGAATTTCTCCCAATATCAGCATTTTCTAGAACATCAAAAGGAATTTCAAGAGTAATACATTTCTTTGAAGCTACGAATGCCAAATAACTCCAGATAAAAATTTTGTTCCCACATATAATCCAAGATAGTCATGTTCCCTTATCCATTACGCCCAATATACAAACATCAGCTGGCAAAGATTATACAGAAGCATCAAATTAGCTTTTTCAAAGGAATTGCATAGATATGGAAATAGTTAATCATAGGAGCCAGCAGTACTGACCAGAAACACACCTCCGCAGAAAACTGGTCTGTTCATCATGAACAATTTGTGGAAACTCTCCAACAAACACTGGCTTAATTGAATCTATTTCATCCCCTTTGTCATTCCTGTTTGCTGGTGGAATTCTGGGTACAATAGGACACAAAAGATTAAATATATTATTAACCAAGACTTTAAGCTACACATAGACACAGAGAGAAAGTTAATTTGTAAACTCAAGATCTATAAAAACATTACAAGGAAAAATATCTTGATGCAGGAGCAATAACTACGGAATAGAGCTCTTTTTTCAGATTTCTGATTTTTATTTTTTAGGAAGTAAGGTATTTTGGTATAGGTTAATTGGGGTTTTTACCTGTTAACTTGGAAGTGAACCACTGGTACTATATAAATAGGGTTTTATATTTATTTTCAAGGAGGTTACTTTGGCTGAATGACAGGTTAGAGTTTGGGATTCTTTCTCTTTAAGTTTGGATATAGTTCTAAAATTAACCCTTATAGGTTATACATTATTCCTCTCTAATCTCCTATGCATCTAGCCACATATTTTTTTTCCTCTATTCTTTTTGTTAGTTTCAACGATAACCCCTTATCAGACCTACACCAAGGCATAAATTATAGCATAGGTTGAGATGTAAGCCATCCTGCAATCCAAGTAAAGCATGCTTAACCAAACACATCAAAGCTGGTACTATTATTTAATGAGACCTAGACATAAATTCCTTGAAAAATTTTCAACAAAATACAAGGAAGCAAGGCCAATCACTATTCACTTTTTTTGAAGTCTCAAAATTTCTAAGACTAAAAATCATGATTGCAATTTTCATGCCATGCCTGTTAGGCAAAAAGCCTCTATCAAATCAAGTCAGCGGAAGTATAATCAAACAATTAATCAATCACACAAGAGATAATAATTTGACGTGATTCGGTCCAATCGACCTATGTCCATGAATGAAAAACAAGATCCACTAGTTATAGAGAATTACAAATATGCAATCCATATCAAGCACTCACAATTAATACTCATAGACCCTCTCAATCTCCTCTAGTCCTATGAAGTATTCTACCCATGTGCGCCCATGCATCATACCTATGTGGACTATCTCAGTCTCCTCTAGTTCACTTACAAACATACACCATACCTATGTGGACCCTCTCAGTCTCTTTTAGTCCACTCACAAGCATTCAAACATACACACCTATAAAACATAAATCTCTAGTGGTCTTATGAGGTTACTTTCCCATAAAACCCTACAACTCTCTTACATCTTTTTCTCATACCTAACCCAATAGAGACTATCTATTTATAAGCATACAAATTTACCTATTAAGAATCCCTTTCCTCTTAGAATTCTTCTTCTGCAAGTCAAACTTGCCTATTAAGAATCCCCTTTCTCTTTGAATTCTTCTTTTACAAGTCTTCTTGTTCATCAAGCAATATCTAGCCAATTCCAGACAAATCTCTTATAGGATTTGAGTCATTATTCCCAACAACGCCCACATCCATCAGACATCACCAGGCACAAGAAAGAATAGCCTCAACAGTTAAACTAATCCTGGCCTTCACTTCTTAAAATGTCCAGCATCAGATTCTTCATTTCTTAAAACTCAACAATTCACTTATCTTCTTGATTGCACATTCCCACATTTCTTCAGTTAATTCAAGGATCCTAATTTCAGAATATTACTTATACAAGCAACCATTTCTGAAACGAAATGCTAAGACTTGTGCACAAAATTATGATCCAACAGTAAAATTCAATTCCAAACGCCTCAAAATCATAAGATTCTTGCTCAATCAAAAAGCAAAACATGAAAAGTCGAGTAGTACCTAGCGAGAACAGACAAACGAGGAGCCCAAGGAGGGGAGTGCCGGTGCTAGGACGACCGGGAATCGAACGATGGTTTACGGTTCTCAGTAAGTGGAGTTGGTAGAGAATCCGGTGCCATTAGAATTTGACCTACATTTCTCTCCTTTCGCGAGTTTAATTTTGCTTCTCTTCAACCCTGGAGATAACATTTTCCTTTTTCTCTTCCACTGTTTAATTTTTGCTCTTATTTTGTTAATATTAAACGAGAGGTTTAGGATTTATGATTTTGTTTTTTTTTTAAATGGAGTGAGGTTTTTGAAAGCGTCGGAACGGGTGGGAGAAATTTGAATGGCTGTTGGGTCATCAGAGGGAGAGGTGATCGCATGAGGTCTAGTTCATGGTTTTCTAATTAACAGATTTGATTTAAACCGTTCGATTGGAAATATATGAAAAAGGTCAAATTCTTCCTACCACCCTCTATTCTAACAAAATTTAAAATTTAATTTCTTTCATCATAAAAATATAATTCTTATATTATTTTTTTTAATAATCATAATCTGATTATTAATTTTATTAAATTTTTATCATTAAATATACTAATGTAAGCATTTGTGTTGAAATGACTGTTGACTTTGGTTTCATGATACTTTGATTGGTTAATATTGTATGTGATGATGACGTAAATTAAATTACACGCTGCATGGTGTAACTTTTTAATCCAGGTCAGACTTTAAAACTTGAGTTTCTTGAAATATTTGACAGACAATAGAAGCGCTGTGCATTTCCCAAAGGGAATGAATGCCTGAGACTGAATTTCTTCAATAAAGAACCGATTTATCACCATTTCCTTGATATGAACATAAATGGTACTCTGCTTCATAGAACAAGACGTGTGATACAACTATAAAATCAACAGATAACAAAAATATATATAGAAAAGGCTTGTATATGTAAAAGAGTTCTTGAATAAAGAACTATCAACAACAGCTTGACAGATTTAAAGACAAGAAGTTTAGTTTTTCCCTACTTTCTGCTCCCTAAACAAGAAGAAAAACTGCATAGACGTGCATAAAAGCATATTTCGCATCATGGTTCCAGCTTCAAGGAAACAACTCGCGACTGTCTGTTGCGCTTTGCCACCTTGACAAAGACTACTGAAAGGCAAGAAGGAGCCCACCATGGCCTGCGAACTTTTTGCTCTCCCTTTAGGCAAGCCACTGAAGAATATATTTTAAATACATCAATGACTAAGAAGCATATCTACTTCTAAGAATGACTTCCTCTTGTTTAAGCAGACAACAAGAGGAGAACAGCTCCATGCTGTTGAAGAATGCATGCAAGACAAATTGTTTTCTTGAATAGCAATCGGTTATCATTAAACCATTCGAAAGATGCGGCACACTATAGTGTAGCCAGCCTCTCTCATGTAAACAGGCATCAACAAATCTAAACCAATCACTTTCAGAATTCCTGTTTTACCAACTAATAAGCAAAAGGCAGTGCTCCGACATAACTTGGGTACCAGAGGTAAATGATGCATATAATGTTATGCCTGGATGCTAGACAAATAATGCATGTGGCAGGGAAAAATTCCCATATTTTAAAATAAAGTGGAATTGAAGAATTATCACTCACAGAAATGTGTCTCTTACCACAAGAACAGCCAGAATAATTAAGCAAACTTGAAGATTGAAGTACTTTCCAATTTTTTGAGAGGCAAAAGCTATATATATACCTTTTATTCGCCTGAGTTCCTTGCATAGAGTGATGAAGTCGCCCCACTTCATATGGCATCGCCTTATAAACCGAAGAATCTGTTCAGTTGTGAACATAGACATGCCTTCCAAGTATTCCCCATTGACACCATTTTCTTTGAAAATCTGGCGGTAGCTACCAAGATTTATCTCTTCTAACCACATACCAACATCCTGCCAGAATGAAAGGATCACAGTGCAAAACCATGTTATTGAATTAAATGTCCATTCCAGAAACCTTTCATGTTAAACATCAAAAGGAGAACATATTACAAAATCTTCAACAATGGCGAACTGTTGGTTTAGATAACATCATAATTTGAAAGCACCTTTTGCAGCATTTTTCACTAGAAATGGCTCAATTTAAGCACATTTTACCTTGTTACTCAATTTTCTTAGTTTCTTTTAGAGATCAGTTGTTACTCAGAATGGTTAATCAGATATCACTATCATTTTCAATGATCTGAAAGGAATGGTAATGATGATGAAGAGAAAGGTTGTGTGCATTATTATTTTCTCCATGTCTATCCTTCAAAGTTACAAAACAACAAAGTGCATTTGTTGCTATGTTGGTTCATCAAAAACATATAGTTGTGGAATGCCTCATCATTTGACAAGCACATACAAGTCTTCCAAGGGGGATGAAGATATATAAATACATAGCCAATCCACCTTTCAAAAAGTTAATTATAGCATTGTAAGCAGGTCAGAAGTATGTCTCGTAACTTGAAAATAAACAGCTCATCTTCAACAAGGAATACCCATCTGATGCACCTGCTTGTATTTCCTGTCGTCATCCCAAAAGAAGTCTTCCTGCAATGGGGAGTAATAAAGAGGCAATTCCAAGTTCCCAACCTCACACAAATTCTGCAGCCAGGAAATTCTTTTCCTTTTTTGTTCTTTCTTTCTTTATTTGCTTCTCTACACTTGTTTAATTGACAACTTGTATGAAATTAGGGGTACTTGTCAATTGGGAATATGATAAGCATGTACGAGTATCTTTATCAGAAGTGTCAATACAACAGATGCCCAGTTAATGAGAAATTTGCTATACAATTTCAGCAGGTACCTAGACCTTAGAAACTGTATTTACTTTGTAGTTATGGTTCGACAGCCACAGATCTATGAAATTTCATGTTATCCATTCAAACAGCCTCACTATTACCTTCATGAACAACTTTCAATAAGAACGCTCATCACGACAAATGCAAGTTTTGACATAGAACAAAAAAAAAATGTAGAGAAGATCCCGCTACATTACAGATGTAAAACCACAATACAACAACAAAAACAAACTAAGCCTTATATCTCATAACTCTAGGGAGACGTAGAACCACGATCTACGAATAAAAAAGATACACTGTAGAACAAGTAGAATAACCACAAAGCCACAAAACAATATCAACTAGTCTAAGTCTAACCCCATAAGGCCATAACTAAACTAATCATTCCAACCATCCCAACAGAAAGAGATGAAAAATGACAACCTTGAACAAACATTTTAGGATGAAATGTTACCAGCCCATAAATAAACAACAGGGTAGACTCAAAATCACCTAAATCAGAGACAACTGAAAATGGGTTCACCAAAATACAAATATTCTCTATACCTGGAGATAGAGTAAGAGAGAGATTGGAACCACATGGATCAAAACCATAGAGAAACACTAAATTTTTATATACCAAAATGATAACAAAGAAACCAAAACAAAAACGTTCCTTAGTCAAGGCCTAATTTTGATCTTGAGGAAAGGGAAATAAAAATTGATCAACTTTTTGGACAATTCAATTCACTTTTACAGTTTCCAACAATCACAACAAGAAACCAAAATATTACAATAATTACAATTTTAGACAACCAGCAAACACCCTTTTTTTTTCTTAAATACTAAATTTTGTTAACAATTTAATCAAAATTGAGTGAAGAAATGTCACCATCAAAACTTCTAACTGAAAAAAATTACAATATAATTAGCAAAATTACCCATTTAAGTAGCAGTGCTAAAATTTCAGACAAAGAAAAACTCAAGATCTAAACTTTACCAGGAACGAAGATCCAAATAAAATCAAAACTCAAAAATATATATACATACAAAAAAAAAAGAGAGAAAGAAATACCTCAACAGTCCAAATGAAGAAATCGAGTGGCTCAGGCGGGTGTTCTGTGCTCATCTCTTCTATAATTTCAACCAAATTCACGTACTATATTTACCACCAATTTCCCATCAAAATTTACCGCTACTTAAAACAAAAATCAAATTAAAACCCAAAAACAAAAAAAAAATGTCCCTTAGATTCCCAGGAAATCAAAAAAACAAAAGGAAAACTGGAGGACAACAGGTTTTGAGGTTAGAGTGACAGTTGTTGAGATCTCAATCCTTCTTCTCCTTTTTTTTCCTTTTCTCTTTCCCTTTTTTTTTTCTTTTTTTTTTCTCGGGAAGCAAACAGCCAAACACTAGAACCGGAGAGAGAGAAATAAAAACAAAAAAAAAGGATAGAAAGAAAAGAGTACCGTGTGAGAAAAAGAAAGACAGAATGAGAAATTTTTAGGGTTGAATTTTTTTCTTGAGTTTTACGATACGGTGGGATAAATATTAATAAAAAATTTTAAATATATATATTTTTTTTGAATAATTAAAATTAATAAAAAAATTTAATAATTATTATTTGGATAAAAAATAAAAAAATTATTATAATAATTTTTTATGTAATTTTTAGAGTATTCTTTTATTATGATATATCTATTTATATTCAATTATTCATGAAAATCAAATCATCAAAAAATTTAAAATATTTTTATATTAAAAAAATATGTAAAATTTATTCGAAAAAAGTAATGATTTTAAAAATATTATAAGATGATTGTGATCAGTTTAAATTTTTTATTAAATTTTTAATATAAATAAAAAGATAGATATAATAATCATTTTACAAAAAAATTAACTTTTTTCGTAATTTTTTAAAATTGAGGTATTAAAATTTTGAATTTACAAAAAAAAAAAATTATTTAATTTTTATTTTTTAAAATTAAAAATTTATCCAAACAAAAACAATTATTTCCTTTATTTTTTTACTTTCTTTTACTTACTTTCTTTTCTTTCATTTTCCCTCAATCCAAACACACTAATTTTTGAGAAATTGAGATTTAAAATCATTTTAGAGAAAGAGGAAATGTGGTAATAATAAAGATAAAAAAAAAAAGATACAGCGAGTAAGAAATTATTACGTACTGTTGCTGTTGGCTTAAACTTTAGTTTGGAGAGATGGATCCTCGTTTTGCTTTTGTTTAGTTCAACGCTTGTATGCGTTTAAAATTTGTACTGCCGTCTTCCTTCATTTACCTTACGCGACCTATCTCACAGTTCAGCCACGCGCTCTTCAGTTTTTTCTGAAATACTGATTTTTTTTATAAAGTGCCATAGTTTATTATTTGAAAAAACACTCGGCTGTAAAAAAGAAAATTGTAAATAATTTATTGAAACTTTCAATACTAGGTTCTGCGTGAGCGAAGGAGAACAATGGAAATTTTCTCTTTTTCATATTTTTTATGATAAAATAATTATAAAAAAATTAAAAATTTATTTAAATATTAAAAAACAATAATATTTATGAGCTTTTTTTATTGTTTTAAACTAAAATTTTTAAATTTGTAACAATTATGTGATTTATTTATAAAATATTAAATTTTTAATTTTAATAATTAAAATTTAAATTCTAATAATCTTCAATATAAAAATTCACCTCAATTCACAACTTCTATGATATCTCTCCCTAAAGGGACTTTTCTAACATAGCTTAGAGGTTATCTCACAATTATTTTCTCATCCAAACCCTTCTAATATCTATTTATTAGTGTAATTAATTTCTTTCTCCCAATATGACGATTGGTCATGACTCTATGTAAAAACAACTTTGAGTATTGTAATTGTAATTTAAAAAAAAACACGAGTTAGCAAATTTTGCAAAGAAAATTTCATAATTATTGTAATTAATTAAAGTTGTAATCAACATTAAGCATTCAATTTAGTATCAATTGATAATAAAATGAAATGGTTCAACCTGAATTTAAAATTACAAAAAATTTAATATTTATTAGATGTAAAATAACTCACTTTAACAAGTTCTCACCACTTGTAGACAGAGATTAAAAAAGCTTATCACATAAAAAAATGTTGGCTTTAATATCATGTTAACCAGACTCTAATATTATGTTAAGTATCAAACTTAAAATCAATTGACAGTAAATGATGAAGAATTGAATATAAAATTATAAAAAATTATTTATTTATTAGATGTCTGATAATATCAACTTTAATAAGTTATAATCATGTGTAAAAACATATAAAAGAGACTTATTTTGTAACCAAATTTAAAAAGATAACGAAAAAAAATATTGATTCTAATATCATATTAAATATTTAATTTAAAATCAATTAACAGTAAGTGAAATAATTTAACTTAAATATAAGATTATAAAAATTTTAATATTTATTAAATGTAAAGATAACATCACTTTAATAATCAATAACTATATAATTAAATAATAAAAATTTAATTTTTGATAACCTCATACATGTTGAACACATTTCATACCGTAAAAGCAACAGTTTAGTCTATGTCTCAAATAGATTCTATAGAAAAAACAAAGGCTCCCCAACTTTTACCCGTGACAATGGAACCAATCTCATCATTATCTCTTTCTTGAGTTACTAAGTAGACCTAGACACCTTACTATGATCAAATAATAAGAAAAAATATATATATATACATATATATATATATATATATATCAACAAAGATTGGTTGTCCCAGTATAAATAGTTTTAAATTTGAATTTTGTCGTTAACTATTTTCTTAGTGTCTTTACTTGAAGTAAGGCATGTATCCTGTTCCTCTCCAGAACTGAACAATTTTTTTTTAGTCGAAATTTTGAACAATTAATTATTTATTTAACATTGTTAACAATGATCAACACGCTTTAAAATAATATATTAAATATGGTGGGATAATATTATTCTTGTATATAGATGATAAATTTATTTGATATCGTCGAATTTTGACGTATCTTAATCTTATAAAATGTTGGTTTTTAAATTGAGTTTTGCATAAAATTGAAATTTTTTGGAATCAAAGTCAAGTTTTAGATAAATATGTGCCATTTCACCTCCAACATATATATATATATTATCATTTATTTAATTTTATAATTATATATGCATAACATTAATTAAATTATTCAATGTTTTAATTTAAAAAATTATATTTATATATAATAAAAATATAATTTATATTAAAAATAATATTTTTAAATATTATATTAAATTAATTTTAAACAAAATCAATTACGATTATATATATAAATCAAAATAAATATAAAAAATAATATTTTAATATAAAATTAAAATCAAATATAAATTTTATAAAATCGAATTAAAACGATAGGGGTAAAAATTCATCAACCTGACTAATTGTCATACTTAGAGATATAAATGATACATTAGTACTCGTAAGTTACTCGGATTCGATTCGAAAAAAATTCAAATTCGGTTCGATTATTGTCAAGTTGAGCTCGAGTTCGAGTAGTTCGACTTATCGATCGAATCGAATTCGAGTATTCTTATATCTGACTCGAGTAACTCGTGAACTTAATCGAATTTTTTATATTTAAATATATTTTTATTATTTTAATTAATAAAATATTTCGAGTTCGAGTTCGAATTCGAGTATGAATAATCAAATTTTTGTCGAATATACGAATCGAGTTTATTTTTACATATTAATCAAACTTAATCAAATGAATTCGAGTAGCTCGAATTCAATCATGAATTGAGTTCAAATTTAAAAAATAAAATTCGATCGAGTTCGAACTCGATTCCACTCATTTACACTCTTGGTCATACTATTCTGACAATAAGAAGGGCAAATTTGTCTACTATTTAATTTTGTCCTGAAAGGTTATTATCTTGCTTTAACAGAAATATAGGTACCCGGACGAAAACGAAGAGACGGTCAATTCCAAAGTGTCCCGTTTTCAGTTCAGTCCAAAGTGGGCCACCCCTGTCCAGATTTTGTAGTACAGGGAATAGATTTTGATGTAACAAGTGGGGGCCCATCATATCCCCTAGATAAAAAAGTAGATGGTGATGATTAGATCAAGAGAAAACCCAAAACAAAAAAAGTAACGATAATCAACGGTGGTTGATGCGGAAAGCGTATGCTTTTGACTCAGAAGGTGGGGCATAACGCAGGTGCACGTGCAGTATGTGGTGGATTTAGCGTGCTGGAATTTCTAACTTCAAATTAGCGGTGTATATAAATAATAAATCGATTCATGTTTATAAAAATATAAAAAATAAATAAATAAAAGAGCTTGCTCAAATTTGTGTATTATACTAGTAAATTACACCTCGTTGCCTTACGGGAGAGAAAAGCAATTTTTTAAAATTTATTTTAAATTATTAGTTTAATTATTAAATTATTTAAAATTATCCTTAAGTGGGTTATAAAATATCTATATTCTTTCATTTTTTTAATTATTTAAAACTTACTATTTTTTAATAAAATAGAAATTTCTTAATTTTGACAACAATAATAATAATGAATTATTATTAATTTCATAATCATTTGAAATTAATTTTTTATTGGAATAATTTATAAAAACTTCCTTAAACTTTAGTAAGTTGACCATATGATTCTTTAACTTCAAAAAAAAATAAAATTGAAATTAACAAATTTCAAAATATTTTTTTATCATTTGAGATTTTTGCAACGATCATTTTTATTAATAATTTTAATTTTTTATTATTTAAAGTAATATATAAAATAAATATATGTAAATAAAAATTAAATATTATGTGAAGTGAAAATGTGTGTAAAAATATAATAAAATTAAATTATTTATATTTTGAATTTAGATTGTTTACATAAAATAAGTTAAAGGTTTACTTCTGAGTTTATTTATTTAAAATGGACCAAACTTTTGCCCACATATTTTTTGAGGGATGTGTTTTAATATTAGTTCATTTACTTCGCTCCATATAGATGCCAATTTTATTTAAATATGATAAGGAATTTAATTTTTTACCTTAATGGTGATGTAATGAGTAATAAAATTTGAGGATGAAAATAAAGATGGGTATGGTTTAAAATTTTTATTGGATATGAATATAGGGATGGGTAATATAGCCATCAATCATATTTATACCCTATATATTTATATATATATATTTAATAAATTAATTTTTTTAATAATATAAATTTTATTTTAGATTTATTAGAACTAATATATTTGCATTTAAAAAAGATATTTTTTAACAAATTACTTAATATATGCAAAAAAAAGTTTTAATTTTTAATATATATATTTTAAACCATAGATAAAGGGATTACCCATATCTATTAAATACCCACAAGTATAAGGATAACAATGAATTTAAAATATTTGTTCGATATAAATATAAAAATAAATATAATATAAAAAATTAAAAATAAAAATTAAGATACTTTATTCATCGATACCTTATCTATTAATATCTCTACTCTTAAAACTATATATATATATATATATATATATATTCAAATTTGAATGTATTAAATCTTGCCCATAAACTTAAAAAAGGAAAAAAAAAATCTTGCCCATAACGCCTACTTTCACCTTCCAAATTTATAACAGTCACCCAACATTATAATTCATTTAATTAGGATAGGTTTCATATTTCTTTTGATATAAAAGTCCATTAAAGGTGGAATCAAACTTGCATCAAATTCAAGTTTGATGATAAAAGAGAAAAATCAAAATTACAAGACATGTTCTTCAAATGAACAAGGTTTGCAATTCGAGGCAAGGCATGGATCCTGTTTTTAAAAAAAAAAAAGTTTGCATTGTGATTGTATCAACCTTATTATGATAAAAAAATTTGTCTAATATAATAAGTTAATTAACCTAACTTGTAATTATTTATATTAATTAAATTAATCCGTATAACTCAACATTTTTTTAACTATTTAAACATATTTATAAAATTAAAATTATTAAAAATCATAAATAACTAAAATAATCATGTTTGAACCAATTAACTTTGTCATAATCATGTCTGGTTAAGAGAGTTATTTGCTGTCATGTTGTGTAACTTGTTTAATATCAATTGCATTTCAACTAACCTGTGGTTAATTTAATGAAATTAAATTGATTTTAAAATTAAAAAATTTAAATTTAAATCTCTATCATAGTTTAAAAATAAAAAAAATTGTATATTATTATTTGAATTTTTAACTTGATCATTAATTGTATTATTATTTCATGTAAAATGCATATTTTTTTAATAGTCAAATCTTGACATGACACAATTTTAACATAATTATTACTTTTACTAATAAAGCAGATTAGTCATCAATTATTTTCTGTCCTAAATTATCTGAATATTATTTATTTTTATGAAATTTAAAAAATTTTAATTTAAATATATTTAATATTATAATTTAAAATTTTTATAAAATTAAAATTTCATAATATTTAATGTTAAAAAATAAAAAAAATAAAAGTTTGAGATGTTAAATTTTTTTTTTTTAAATATACAGAAAAATAAATAAAGAAAATGGGACGAAAAATGCATTTTGAAATCAAATTAACTATATTTAGACAAAAATCTAAAAATGACCGTAACAATATCAGCGAAAGCCAAGTTGCTGCCCTCTAATTCTGACTTTAATGAAAACTTTTCAATTTGGTCAAGTAACTTCTAAAAACTTAATAGTCTTATGTTTTATATTCTAAAATTAAGTTTTATATATTTTTTATGTTAAAAATCATGGAGAATCAATTTTGTAAACTTTTTTTAATTTAAAAATAAAATACATTAAATTTGGAACAGAAGTACCATTCAGTGCTTGCAAATTGAACAACTTATTTAATTTATTGTATTTAAAATTTTTAAATAAAAATTAAAGGGGGAAAAAAAAAAAACTTAGAATTAACAGAATGTGATAGGCTTTGCCATTAATTTCTTGGTCCTTGGACCAAGCTGCGCTGCCTGCCAAGGAGAATGCCACTATCATTAGGACGAAAGCAAATCTAGTGCAAATACAGCTAATCAGCGACGTAACCATGATTGACTGACAGTTTGTTGTATGTCCCAGTCCCACCCCATGATTGATTACCAAAAACTCATGCTTCGACAAACCACATGTACACTCAAAACGGCATGATTTGATATGGTATCGGCCTAGCTCTAAGGAGGACACTCGATTAACAACAAAACACCACCATTTGTTGTTGCAACTTGGGCACTTGTCCGAGCTTCATAATCAGTCAAATCAGTACTGTTTTGGCAGTTCCCAACTCGAATTAGAGAAACAAGTTTCTATTAAAAAACTAGTTAAATCCTACAGCAAGAAAATTGTTATAACTCTTAACAAGATGTCCTTGGAGAGACGAAAAGCAATCATACAACCGCTTGAGGACACCCTTCTGCAACACTAAATTCTGAAATACATATGGACGCATGGCACAAAAACAAAATAGGCGGTAGATCCCAAAACCTCATAAAAGTATAATTTGCCCAGCAGTTCATTCAAGAAAACCATGCCCAAGTATTGTTGGTAGATCCTTTCAATTGAACATTGCTTTCATAGATTTTTGTAGGACAAACAAGCTTGATTTAAGCGCACAAAAAGATTAACACTCCGACAAAATTAGGTCGAGGAGTTACTGATGGCTAGACGTTAGCTGGCGGAGGATGCAACTGCTTTTCTATGACAAACACTCGACGGTAACAATACTGACTGTTGCATTTGATAGGAACCAGACACAAAAACGGTACCCTGATCTCCACCATATGTTGTTGGCCCCAACAATCCATTTCCCGGACGGATCAATGAGTAAAGCATCACCAGATGAATTACAAAGATCATTGCCCTGTCTCTGGTCAGAATTAGTGAGAACAACTTCCCTTTGGTTTAGGGATTAAACCAAAATCAAAGCCAATAAACTACAATACCATTTCCAAAAGCTCACATACATTACTTTCCTTTGACTACAAAATAACCCAAAAGCCAGAAAATTAGAGTGCATCAAATCATACCGATAGATTACAACTTCAAAACTTACACGAAAAGCAACACAATTTTTTCACCTCTAAAAACTAGCATTGCCCAGAAAACCATAAAAGGCCTGAAATTTCGATTTGTAGAATAAGCACAATTCTTTCTTTGCACAAGGAAAATATCTGGCTTGCAACCTCAGAGTTGAAAAAAAAAAAAAAACACGCACACACACAAGAAATAGATCCTGCAATAGCTTACCAGTTAACTAGAATCGTGAAACCAGAATAGATGTGAGCTGTGCCTTCTGAGTGAAAACAATGGATGAGTATTCCATTTTGAAATATCACGCAAGTTGTATCCTTCTGACAATTTTTTTCTCACCACAGAAATGATGCTGCATTCTCACCATTTGAACAACTAGTCCAATTGGAAGAAGGAACTATTGGTCCGTCAAAAATATACCTGGCCTAGTGCCCCAAAAAAATCCATGATCCCACTCACTTTATTTTACCAACGGTCATTGTGATTTCAAAAACATTGACCTTGCAATGCGATGAACAATGAGAGATGCTTAAAGAAGAACACTTATAACTACAACAATCAAGAAAATTCAGAAGCCACTGGTGGAGGAGGTGCTGCCAGATCTAACAGTTCCTGTGGAACCATTGCTAGTTTTGCTAATGACACCCTTCCCAAAATATTCAGCAATCACCGAAAACCCGTCCTTTGAGCTCTTGACTTGTTGGAAGAATCGATCTTGATCTTTTGAATTCTGTTCCAAGCTTCTCTTCATTTCCATTACAGATCTGTACTCAGGAGCACACTCAGGGCATTCCTTTTCATTATCACCAAGGCAACGTTGATGAAATGAGTGCATACACATGAAATGGACAGCAGGTAGGTCAAGGGTAAAAGTGCAAGCAGTGCACTTGCTCAGCTGAAATATCCTGGCATTTGTCCTGAGGTCTTGAATTTCTTTTCTCATAGTCAATGTGTCTTCCTGTACAATTCAAAGACTCGAAGAATTAAGAAAAAAAAGATAGAAAGAACAGTTATATAACATAGTTATTGTAATTGAGAAATTATTATCATGACAAATTTTAAAGCAAAAAAAATCCATATTTCATTGAAGCCGAAATCATTGAAGAAAGAAATGGACAAGTTTTATGTTGTATATGCTTATGAGCTTCACAATGAAGGATGGCATGGTATGCCACTAAAAATATATACTCTTACTGATTAATAAATTTTCCATCAAAGAAACTGAATAACTGCAATGGTGCAAAGGGCAGCAAACATTATCCATTGCAGCATTGCAGTTTTTAATTATGATTAATTAGTCTTCTTTTCTCTCACATGCTTATAAAATATTGTTTTAATCTCTTAACAATACTTTAGCATTTTTTACGTAGATTCTGATGCTGCATACATTACAGAATGTTTAATAGCCAAATCTCTTGATACATAATTCCTGAAAATATATGCCTGATCATTACCACTTTCTACTAAGGGTAGAAGATTGAAAGACACGTAATAAACTTCGCAAACTAAAAAATCATTGAAAGAAACTAGGTACCAACCTGATACTTCTCTATAGCTCGTCTGTCCTCTTCAATCAGCTTTGATTCTTGCTCAAGTTTCCGAGCAATATAATCTTTAATAACCGATAGTGTGAGGCATGGGTTCCTTGAAAGTGTCTGAAGAACAATAATGGGAGGCAAGATGTCATCCCTTTCAATATATGTCAATACTTCTTTCACTTCTTTAGAGCAATCTTCCCCAAGTTCACCAAAATACTTTAGAAGATCTGCCCAAAGAGTGGGATCCCCCCCCTTACCAGAATCCCCTAGCCTTTTGCAACATGCAATCAATCCCTCATGGTCGTGGGCTTGCATGTAGCAAGCAATCACTTCTTTATAAAGCTTCATCTTCTCATAGAGATACAATAAGCCTTCTTTGAATGCATTCATCTCACATAGGATAATAGCAAGATCAACATCATAAAGTGGATGTTCCAGGTCAGATGGCCATGCACTCTTAAGCAAACGTAGCCCCTTCTCACGTCTTTCCAGAGAGTCCTTTTCCATATATGAATTCTTACCATTGACAATTAACTTCCCATTGGACACTGCCCTTGACATTGCAGGTGCTGTTGGTCTTGCTTTAATATTAAAATCTATTTCATTGTTAGCTTGGGAGATTGAAGGGAAGTTCAAATCAATGGACAGGTACAACTCCAAGAGCGTGTTATGAATCTCTACCTGAGCAGGAGAATCTTTTACCTTGTTGGCATATTTTTCAAGGAAATCCATAAGCGATTGTGGATGATGGATGAAAATGTTGAGGAAATCAACAGGAGATGGCAACATAGATAAGTAAGAACCATTTGAAGTTCCACTTTTAGCCAAATCTACATCCTCAGTACAAAGCCTCATGAGTATATCAATTGTCTCTGCCGGTTTGTGCTCTATGAGAATCTTCCCATATTCCTTCACTGTCACCCCAGCTTGACTTGATTCAAGGCTTGAAATATAATGCAATGCTTCATCATATCTGCCGAGGTCTTCAAGCAAAATCTTTAAGTACCATTCATGTCTCCCTGCCTTCTTTGCAACATACATGGCATGTTCATGATAATTTGCTGCACGGCAGACCCTTATAGCAGTCTCCACATCAAATTTATGTTCCCCGACACCATCCTCACTCTTAATGAACACATTCAGCTTTTCAACATCTTTCAATTTTGTATAGCAGTTTAGCAGAAGGGTAGTGTGATCTTTAGAGGCAAGCCCCTTCTCATGTAAATTTTCTAAGTAATTTGTAAGGTTGTAAATTCTTTGCGCATCCAGAAACTTTTGTATTACATATGAAGGTTCAAGGTGACCAATGGTGTGGATGTACTGAGCCATAGCCTCATCATAGTCTTGTTTGCTATATAGATGATCGCCATACTTCCTCAATACTTCAGCAGTTGCGGAAGCATCAGCTTGCTGAGTTTGAACAAGGTTGATAGCTACAGTGTAAAGGTTTTTCTTGAAGAGCATATCCAACTTGCTTTCCATATCCTTCTCACCGATACACAAAGCTGATTTGTCAGTCATTATAAGTATTATATTACCCCATTCACATAGCATGTGAGAAACTTCTTTAACAACTAGACTGTGCGCTATTAATCGGTTCTTGAGATCATAAACATTAAAAGTATTCTTGCCATTTCTTTGATCTGCAATAACACATAATAAATATCCACGAAACCAACCAACGAACTTCTTCTCTCCTTCAAAAGCCCAACAGGGGCCACGCCCATCTACTTCATAGAAATACACAGCCTCAGGTCGACCAATTATCAACTCCTATAAAAAAGGGGAAACACTTTTTAGTATCATGATTATTACTGCACCATAAATAAAAAAGTTAAGGGCAAAATATGCATACCAAGCGGTCACTCATTGTGACACTATTGACATTGCATCCAATCTGATCTAATATTTGCCGCCTAGGAGGTTGGTCCTGCATGCTGAACAAGCTCACAGAATTTGGAGTTACAGCAAACAATAGAAGGGCTTGACCATCCAACCTAAAACCTAGTCCTGTAACCGATGAATTTCCTTTGTCAGATACACTATCAACCTGAAGCTTGAATCGAGTTATTCTTTCACGTGCAATATCTCCCTTGATACAGTAAATGCAACCATTGTCTAACCCAATGGCTATAAGTAATATAGGTGGAGCTTCCTCTAAGACTAAAAATGATGTGATCTGCAATAAATAAGGACTCACATTAAGTTTAAAAATAAGCTAAACTCTAGTCTCAGGTATTCCACAAGTAGGTGTAGCTAATGTCCAGTTTGGCCATTGCTTTTAGCCTCATGTTACTCTTTGTTATTTATAATAGAGCAAAATCAAAAAGTAAAAAAAGCAAAATAAGATTAAATTAAAACTGAACAAATAGTCACAACAAGCCGACCAATTCAGACATAATTATTACACATAAAAGTTAAAAAATCAAGAATTTTGCCGTTCATGCCAAAAATATTGCTTGCTTTTGTTCTCAAACTATGTTTTTTTTTTTTTTTTTTTACTATTTACTTGAGAAAGCAGAATAGCAACTAGCAAAAGTAACAACTAAAGGAAGGCTTGAATATTTCTTTCAACTTTGATATAATTTTTTTCCCAGTGGATTGAAAAAAGCAAACTTGCAATCAAATAAATATATGAAATAAACAACTAACAGTAAATTGATGGCAAAAAAAAAAAACCTTAGCTTGAGGAAACTGATTGGTGAAAATACGCAAAATTCCAATACAATCAGGAGTGGTGGTACTCGATCCTTCCGGCTGCATTTTATCAAGATCAAATACCTTCAGGCACATCCCCGATTGCTGTGGTGGTATTTGTTCATCTTCTCCAATACTCACCAAGAAATTTCGTTGCTGATTTATAAATCAATACAAAAAGAAAGAAAAAAAAATCAATTAATTAAAGTAATTTTTATAATATAAAGTTGAATTGCAACGAAAGGCTTTTTTTTTTTTTTTCTATTTTTACCTTCAGCTGTTGGAGGAAGAGGACAGAAGAAGAGTGAGCTTGAAAACCGAAATTGAAGTTAAGGCCGCGGTCAAGGAGGCTAACAGTGCCGTCATCGCAGCCGATCACCAGCTTTCCTCTGCCGCTGGAGCAACACTCGATTTTTCCACTGATTTCCTCCGGGATTCTGCATTTCCCTCCCCCCAATTTCTCCTCGAAGAACTCAAATTTCCTCCACTGATACATTTAGCCTTCTCGATGATGGATCGGATTTCAGATCAGACTCCGAAAACTAAAACCCTAAAAATTTATTTATTTATTTTAAATGTTTAAGCTCTCCTCCTTCACTCTTTTTCGCGTGAAATTGCAGCGAAATTTGGTACTAGTTTCTAGGCCTTTACGGGTGGGGAAATTAGTTATTGCTATTGCCAAGACGGTAGTTTCTGATGCTTAGGATCATCAGTCAGATCCCATACGACGACGTTTCAAACAAGTTCATTCTTGGGTTCCCTTTGGGTTTTCTTTTTGGGCCAAACTTTTGTTCCTCGTTTTCTGGTTTTAGGCCGAAACTGAACCCATCACGATGTTTAGGCCTTTGAGGATGATAGTCCATAACCGGATTAAATTATTTTAATCTCCATTTGATCCTTGCTTTTACTTTTAGAAGTAAAAAAAAATAAAAATAAAAATAAAAACTTATTTAGATATAATAAAAATATAAAATTATTATTAGTACAATTTTCATAATTATGTTTCAACAATTTTTCTTTTGCTTTTTTCTTAATAAAATTTTCAAAAAGTTAAAAAAAAATGTAGCTTGAACATTTAAAATGCACTAGAGAATTTCTTTCATGAACAATAGAGAGAGATAGAATCTTGGTTTAGTCAATTCATTAGAATAGATAACTGGCAATGTATGATACTTGGTAAGATCATTTCGAATTGTTTTAAGGGTCCATTCATAAAATATAAGTTCCAATACAATGAATAGATTTTCATCATGCTTTTAATTAAAGTTTGATTAAATACTTTTAGGGCATATTTGGATTCAAACTTAAGCTCGGTGGAGAAAATTTTTTGTATGAAAAAATGTGTCAAATTCATCGTATATGCATTTGGCAACCAACATTAACACAGTTGGAGATGATTTTAAATGCACCATACCCCATATTTTGCAATACCGACTCCTCCCTCTAGTAAGAAATTTTTGTCTTCATCGCAGCCTCTTTTCTCAACTTAGCAATTTCAAATATGATATGAAGACATGATATAAAAATAATATAAATAAAAAATATAAAAAATAATATAATTTAAAATTTTAATAAGAACCATAAATAAATTTAATAAAATAAAAAAATTTCATATTTCGTATCAATACGAATTGTAATATGTAATTTTATATAAAATATAACACGAATATATAAAATTTTAATATTTTACATAATATGAATTATCATATTTACTTATAATATCTTTCGTTTTTAATCTTTTTTAATATTATCCGTCAAACAATAATGAAGGAACAACAATATGTCCCTTACACTTGTAGCTTTTAACTTTATTTTTTTATTTGTTATTTTTATACAAAAATAATAAACATAAAAAATATTTTTTAAATTTTACTAATAAAGTATTATTTGATATAAAGATAAATTTGGCAATTTTCAATTTATTAATAAAAATATTATTTGATATAAAATATTTTAAATAATTTATTAATTTTATAAATATCAAATATATATTATAAATTTCATTATATATAATTTTTAATTTAATATATTTAATGATCATTTTATTTTTATTATAATTTATCTTACTATTATCGTTATATTTACATTCAAACATATATATCATTATTAATTTTAATCTTACTATTACAATAACAAATCTTATTTTTAGTGTTATTTTTAATTTTATTAATTTTTTGTCTATCCAAACGAATCTTTAGTTGATAAGTTTCTTTTGGACAATTAAAAACCAGTTGTTGGCAAAAATTTCATGGATTAAAAAAAGCTTGATAACTCAAGGTTGACACGGCAAAGAGGGTGGGGGCATCCCTCCCTTATTTTCAATTGCAAAAATGCCTTTAATTGTATGGATTTGCCAATTTGCCCCACTAATTAATTAAAACGTGGGATTGATCCCTTAACCAACTTGTTTAACTAATTAATTAATCATTTTCATTTTTCGATGTGATTACAGCAAGTGATTGAGATTAAGAACTAAGTTAATGAACTTTGACAGCCGATTAATTAAGCAACGTTTTACACACGGAATATTGAAACCTTAGTCTCGGATTTGTCAACCATTTCCCTCTTAACGAGGCTTATAATTTTAAAAAATCTATACATAATCACTAGAAATTACAAAAGATATTCATTAATCAACTCTTGCAACCACTATGTTATTTGAAGATTGAGCAAATGTTAGTATATCAAGCGGTTTAAGAAAAATAAATATGGTGTTTTAATGTTATATTTGATAAAAAAAAATTTTAGTGATAAAAATTTAAAAATAAAAAAAATTATTTCATCTTTAATATTAAAGTAAATCATCGATTTATAAAATGATTTATAAAATTTTTGAGATTTTTTAGAATTATAAATTATTTATCCATAAAAAAATCGTAAAATTTTAAATTTAAAAATTTTGTATTTAACCTTAAATTTTAATCATTCGCATAAAATTTCATTAATGATAAAATTTTTTTTTAAGCATATAAATATAACTGTTGCATATTTTAATAAGTTAATTTTGAAAAAAAAAATGATCACATGAGAAATAATATTAAATTCAACTTTAAACTATTTAACTTCATGTTAAGTGCACAAATGAAGTAGATAGCATAAGTTGTGGTCATGTCAAGTCTCCAACAAGAGTTCAAAGTTGAAACCAACAAACCTCACTCTTCAAGTAGTGAAAAACTAGCACTTGTTAATTGGCCAAATGCTCCGCTTGTGTTAATGTGAATTTATAAATCGTTGGACAAAACAGTTATCAATTAATATGACTAAATTATTTAAGAATCCATAACGGAAAGTCCCGGTTCTAACGGAGAGCCATAACGACCCGACAATTTTTCCTTGCGATCTGTAACGCAAAATCAGATTGGATTCTTCAAAATCCATGCTATGTTCCGTCAGTGGTTGACTGTAACTGACAATCCTAGTTTTGCTGCCGGTTGAACCGGTCACCATCTCATCCAAATATCCTTTTTACAGTAACTACCCTTGTCTGTTCCTCTTTTGCCTGTTTGACCTTCCACTTCTTCCCTTATTTCCCCTTTTTAAGTTTTTATATTAATTAAAAACAAATTAAAAATCCTTTTGTCGCCTTCTTTTTAGTCAAAAAATAATGAAAAAAAATGTATTTTTTAGTGAGACTGAGAGCACCACCAATCACGGGGAAGTGAACTGGAGAAGGAGAGTGGGGCCGACACGTGCCAGGTCGGATATGTGGGTCCCGCCTAATCTTTGGAGGTTGAGGTCTCCTGTGATTATCCGTAATTTGCGCAGTGCCTGGAACCAGATCTTTCCCTATGGCAAACATGCCGTGTCCTGATAGATTTTCCAATCGACAATCAGAGCCGGTTATCTGATTTACATGACCCAACATTGATCGAACGGTCAGATTAAAATCTTCCATTCGTGTGATCTGACACATCTTATCTTTTATCCTCAAGCGGTACAAAGACAAAACGAAGTATGAGTTCTTACAAAAAGGCAGGCGGTTTGCCGCATAGATATTTCCAAATTTGAAAATAAAATAAAATAATCAAACAAAGACCTTCATAGATATTTTTGAAAATGAAGAAGGGCAGCAACGTCATTTCAAAACACAGAATCTGGAATTTTATTTTATAATATATTAAATAAATTTCGTTTAAATACCAAAAATTTGTGGGAAAATCGTTTTTCTTTGGTAAAAGAAAAAGATAAGAGCGACGGGAACTACAACAATAACAAAAATTGGGAAAGCAGGGACCTTTTTTTAATTAAAAATTAAATAAATAAAGTCAATCAAAGCTATTTCCCCTGAACTATTACTTGTATATATAATTATATATAATTTTTATGTGATTTATAAAGAGAGAAAGGAGAGTATATATTTATTTATTATGTGTTGATTTGAACTAAAGACAAGGCGCCTTCTTAAGGCTAATCCTTTCTGTCATTTTGCTTCACTTTTAAAGAAGGGTGTGGTTTCTAGGGGAGAATTAAGAAATACAGAAGATCAGAAGGAGAAATTATAATAGTAGTGGCAAGGAAGAAACAAAAGAGAGAGAAAGAAGGAAAGAGGCGAGAAAATAATGATGGTCATGGAAGAATTTGAGGCCTTGGGTTGGTTCGTTTGATATTATTTGTGTTTCTTCATCTTCAGAGGCCTGTTAGATTTGGTGGGTATGTTAGATCTTTGTTCAAAAAAAAAAAAAGGAAAGCTTTCAAAGTCTGTTTTTCCAATGGACTTTCATTTTTGGTTGGTTTTGGTTAATTCTGGTAAAGCTTGTGTTTTTGGACATGGGTTTTCAAAGATTTGTGGCAAAGACGTTGTTTTTCTTTTAAGTGTTCTTAAAATGACATATTCTTCTCTTTCAACTGCGTTTAACTTCTGTTTTAACGTTTTCAGTGGTTTCTGTTGTATTTAAAGAGAAAAACAAGCAGAGACTCTGAACATTTTTGGCCCCTTTTTATTTTTACTGGTTAATGCTTATGAATTTTGAACATTGTCTGAGAAATGTTTGTTAATTAATAACCAAAAATGTTCAATTTGCTGGAGTTTCTTATTCATGGGAAAGGAGAAGTTAAATTGAAAGGTTTAGAAAAGAAAAAAAAAAGGAAAGAGTTAATATTTGCTGTCTCTCCCTCAGTAGTTTTCCTTTCTGGGGTTTCAGAATTTCTTCAAATCCAATCATTAGAACTATTCCAATTTTTTTTTAATTTTTTAATATGGAAACTTACAAATATGTTGTGATTGGTTGTTATAGGGCGTCAACTCAGCCAAAGATTTAACACATTTTTTTTCTCTTGGTTGTATGGCTAATGTTTTAGTCATAGTTTGGTTCAAAGTCAATTCATGTTACCTGTTATGCTAAATTCAGACACCGATGTAGCTAATTAGCTATTCTATGACTGGCAAAATTTCCAGCTTTTCTCTAGCTTATATTAGGCTTTCATTTTGCTGTCATCTTTTACTTTTACCTGGATCCATCCTCTTTCTTAGCCATATGGTTTGAACTTTGGGGTCATCTATAAGTATTAATGTTAATGCCATTTTTGGACCTGAAATATAAGGGAAATGATAATTCCGTACAGTTAATGTTGGCAGCTAATGGCTTTTCCCTGACTAGAATCAAATGTATTGGAATCTTTTTCCAGGCTTATTTCCCTTCTTCGATTTGCAATTATTTGATTGTAGTCCTTTTATACCCCTCTCTCTCTGTTAGTGATTTGTATATTTGGGGTGTTGACTGTTTCCCTTGTATGCTTATATTAATGCATTTACTTGCACTTGCAGGGTTGAGAAACTGATATGGATTTTACAGAATCGACCAAAGTTGTGTACAATAGAATCCAACAGCTAGAGCCTGAAAATGTCTCTAAAATTATTGGCTATCTTCTTTTACAAGACCATGGGGATCAGGACATGATCCGCTTGGCCTTTGGCCCTGATGCTTTGCTCCACTCTTTGATCCACAAAGCCAAATCTGAACTCAGCTTAAACAAAGCAGCTGTTTCTGTGCCAATCTCACCCTCTCAGGTGAGCGCAACCCCTGTCACCGATCTCCCTATGCAGTTCACACCTTATTCACCTGCTTCATCACGCACAGTTTCAACTCCTGCAACTATAAGAGCTGCAACTCCTTTCTGGGATCCCCATGTGACTGCTGATCAACATGTCAACAATTTGGGATTTGTCCCACCAGGGTACTCAGATGCTGTTGCTGAAGATTATCGCCTCCAAAACCAAATGCGTTTCTTGAATAGGGAAGATCAGTTAGAATCTGCCAATTCAGTTAGTTCTGACTTTTTGAGTAATTGCTATTATTCAGAACCTGTATTGGGTGGAAGAACCAGCCGGAGGTCCCCAAGCTTGCCTGAATTTCCTATTAAGATTTGCCATTACTTCATCAAGGGGTTCTGTAAGCATGGAAATAATTGTAGGTATTTCCATGGCCATCCTATGCCAGAGAGCTTTTCTCAGATTTTCAGCCCAAATTCGAATGAGGTTGGGAACGATGATCATGTAGTCTCTCCCGGGGCTCTTGAAAAGCTAGAATTGGAGCTAACTGAGCTTCTTAAAGCAAGGAGAGGGTTGCCTGTCTCTATTGCCTCTTTGCCAATGTTGTACTATGAGAAGTATGGGAGGACACTTCAGGCTGAGGGGTATCTTACAGAGAGCCAAAGACATGGTAAGGCTGGTTATAGTCTGACAAAACTTCTTGCTCGATTGAAGAACAGCATTCATCTCATTGACAGGTGTGATATGTGAATATTATGTTTATTTTTTATCTTGCATTTACACAATTAACAAAAAATTTTGTATTAAATTGTCATTTTCATTTACAGGCCTCATGGGCAGCACTCAGTGACATTGGCTGAAGATGCTCCAAAGTACCCAGAGTATGCAGGGGAGAGGAGTCATCCTGGTGGAATAGTTGCTGGTTCTCGGCAGATATATCTCACCTTTCCAGCTGAGAGTACCTTTACGGAACAAGATGTTTCCAACTACTTTAAGTAAGGAAATCATAATCAGATAATTATGAGTTCCTTATTTTTGTTGTATTTGTTCTGAATTTGAGATTTCGATTCTAAATTGCAAATGTTATTTTTTAAAAAATTATTTTGTAGCAAATTCGGACATGTTCAAGATGTCAGGATTCCATGCCAACAGAAGAGGATGTTCGGGTTTGTCACTTTTGTTTACGCAGAGACAGTCAAGCAAATTTTGGCTAAGGGAAATCCTCATTTTGTATGTGGTGCTCGTGTTCTGGTGAAACCTTATAGGGAAAAGTCAAGGCTTGTTGACAGGTAAAAATTCCAATTGCATTATTTCTTGTCTGGTACTTCATCTTGTTTAATCTATACTACATTGCTGAGTTTGGTGGCACCAACTTAGTTATTTAATTTATATAAAAACCACAAAAGATAATAAAACAATAATATAAAAAAATGCTTGTATATTAATAATATGCTTTCCTACATATTAGGATTGGGGCTTACCTGACATTCACTCAAAAAACCCATTTCTTGGCTTGGAATCCTAGCATTTGCAACCCCTTTCTCTATCCTCAAGTTGCGACCTCCTTTGTTAGGAAAAAAAGACTACTTCTCACTTAATTTTACAAAAAAAAAAAAAAAAGCTTTTCTTTCCCTCTTAGCACCCACGTAGTGGGTGTGAGGAATTCTAGTTTGTGATAATATGCTTGTTCTTGATTGGGTCCACCGGAATAACAAACAGAATATCTGTTCCGGAATTTTTTGGACATGATGATTTTAAACATAAAGCATTGGTGGGTCAGCAACATTAGTTATTAGATTTGACTAGAGATTGCGCTTTACTTAAACCTTATCTCTCTTTATAATGTTTCATATTCAGGGTAATTATGCATCACTGCCTCAATCAGTTGATTATCGATTTACACTTTAAACTTCAAATTGGATATATGTCTGCCCCAAACTTGAACCTTTTGTTAGCATTTGCATCCTGCATCAGCATTTGACTAATTGTTGGGATGTCCTGGTGGTTAGTATTATTCTAATTTTGAGTGAAATATGGTACTTGAGGGTGAAAATTAGCAAGGGAATATGTTTAGGTTGATCTTGTTTAAATTAAAAACTTGGGTTGCAAACTCAAAGTCCAGATTTGTGATGCACGCTTGACTCTCCATGTTTTTCCTCACCTGGTTGCCATCTTTATATGCAAACCAAAAAATATTTTTGATTCCAATGAGTGCTACAGCTGGTGCAATTGCCTTCTGTGCTCATTGTATGGATTCTAATTGCAGTTACTTTATGCAGCTTGTGTGATTCATGGATTTTGCTAGTTACTGTTTTAGAATTTATACTTTTCATGTTGCCTTTTCTTGCAATTTTTTCAAAATTCAGCACCAGTGATGTCTGCTAAATCAGAGAGACGTACTGAAACCTTTGAAATTAAGGCAAAAATAATCATAGGAGTTTGTTTCGGTATAGGAGTGCTTTTCGGTGTCTAGAATATGACTAGGATAATCTTTCCATAAATGCAGATTATGTTGAAAATGTACCTTTTGTAACTTTCTAATTTCCAAAAGCATTAATCGGCTAATTCCAGCTGGCTTGTCACACTAACTTTATTCTTCCCACCCGGTAGGACCAAATGTTTTTTTTCATTTCTTCCATCTTGGAGATTATCTTATTGGATAAGTATCTTATCAATATTTTTGCCTTATAATGCAACAAATTATTTTTCTTAACTTTACTATGGTGTCCTGCACTATCTACCATTTTTCTTGTGTTTAGTTTTCAAAGCCCCATTGATGCTTACAGATTTTCTTCACTCTCCTTTTTGCAGGAAGTATATTGAGAAAGTACAGCATCCTATGTATTACAGTTCACACTTTATAGATGGAGACACGGAGCTTCAATCAAGTTAGTATCTCTTTTAATTTGATGCTTGTTTTATCTTTTATTGTTTCTGGTAGTGATTGCTTATTTCTGATGCCACATTGAATTGCCTGTCCTTTTATAGTGCCAAGAGTTTGCGATAGTTCAAGATTTTTTAGAGAGCAGCTTATGGAGGATCATGAGCATGCACTAGAGTTTGAGAGAAGGCGCTTCTCTGAGCTGCAATTAGCACCCAAGCAACATTTGAATGATCACTCCTATTTTGGCTACTCAATGGATGAGCTGAAGCACACAGATGGTATAGTACTTTTCTTGGTGAATTGCCGGTTTCTTCATTTATGCTGTGTATATGGTCTACCCCTTCTTTCTAACTATTAAAGTTATGGCTCTAGCCTATGCAGAGCAAGCAGATTTTCCTTCTGCGGAGCGTTTCAACTATTTGTTGGATGTTCTGAATACTGGTTCCACCAGTGAGGAAAAAGCCAGGCATATAAGTACCAACTATAGTGACCAGGATAGGTATGATTATCTTTTCCTTTGTTCCCCCCTCCTTTTCGAAAGCAGCACATGTCGATAGTTTTGCTTTTCGAGTCATTAGAATTTGCTATCAATAAATTAATAAAGCATGATAAAGCTTTGCCACCTCTAGGTTACATATTTTATGCCATTTTTTTCCTGTGAAGCTAATGAATTCATGCCATTTGCGACTGTTATTTTCTTGTATTAAAGGGACCAGGAGCTCTAGATTCTGTCCATGGCTTCATTGATGTTGATTTGTTTTGGTTTTTCTTGTAACCCTTGCAGCAGCCAAGGACACAATCTTCCAGAGAGCCCGTTTGCATCTCCAATAGGGAGTGGCATTTCAACAGTTATATAGAGACTTAGACACATGACAATCAGGAATCATAGAGGTAGATGACTGGATTTCAACAACCGGAATTTCTTTTTCATCCTTTTTTATTTATTAGATCTCATGTCAACGTCATCGGTCCTACAGCATCGTCATAGTTCAGAGAAACACTAGAAATTCTCCATTTCACTTCAATGGAGAAGATTCCAAAGAAAAATGAATATAGAAAGCTAATATGTAACAGGGTCCAAGTCCTTTTCTTTTTGGAAATAATCACAGGAAGTCAGCCAGAGAGCTGTGGATGTTTACTCTTTAGGAGAGAATGCAATCTATATAGTCTTCTCTTGGTTGAAAGAAGAAGTTAACAAGTAGAAAACATGCATGCAGAGTTCATAAGAAAGAGAAGATGTAGAAATTTCAGCTACACTGAGTTATTATTATAAATAAATTCTAATTTTTATATAACTTGCACTTATAAAGTTGCGTGCTTTGTTTTTAGAGTATTAAATTTTTAATTTCAATGACAGATTAAAGTATAAAACAAAATTATAAGAAGGATATTTCAAAACATGTCTCTAAGTATTGGTTTAGATAATTAATAAGTAACTTTTTATTTAAAAAGTAATATTTAAATAAAAGAAAAGCCCTTAAATTATGGAATTAAAGATGAATGATGATGACTGTTGTTGTGCGGTTGATGATTGTGGATTGATTCAAAAAATTTTTTTTTAAAACAAAAGAATTTTGGGCCACTTGAATCAAAAAGGGCTTTTCCATGTTGGTCAATTTGTTTGTTGAAATGAAAATGAAGTTTCGTTTTGGGAACCAATCAGATTAATTGACTTTATGATTAGTGAGGTTAGAATTGCATGTTCTTAAAGTGGGCTTGATGGATGAGATAAGATGTGTGGACCTGATTTTTATTTTTATTCAAGATTTGTGGACCCCACCGCATCACTCTTCGTTTTCTTGATGGAACGGCTCTTTGGTGCATATGGTCTCCAGTTAAATGGATTTTTATTTATTTATTTATTTATTTTTACTTAAGTTTTGTCTCTAATCAATCCTTTTTTCTTTTCTTTCTTTTGAATGAAAAAATTAGCCTAGTGAGCTTGACCCAACTCGGTCAGACTTGGAATAAAACTTTTCAAATTTAAATCTGAATAAATAAAAATATACTTAAAAATATTTTTATCCAACATTTACTTTCATTGAATTCATGTTAAGCCAGATGCAACAATAGAAAATTCACAAAGGCCATACAAAGAACATGCTTATTTGTTCATTTCATTTATTAAAAAAAGATGCATACAACAATGGTTGAACATGCTTATTTGTTCATTTCATTTATTAAATAAAGATGCATACAACAATGGTTGAGCAAATATAAGCTTAACAAGGATAACTACTCTTAACTGCCAATATCAATATACAACAAGGATCTCCGGCGGAAGACTTCAAGCCCAGAGAGAATGAACAAAAAAAAAAAAAAAAAAAGAAACCATGGTACCCTTGTTCTAATTTCATTCATTTCTTTTTGCTTCCTGAAAAAGGAATCTAAAAGTTTTCCTTCTGATAGTTTAATACCTGCACTAGCCACATAACTAGCCGAATGTGGCTTGCATTAAAAGAGTAAAACCCTGTCTGTATTAATCATATTGCATTTCACATGGCCTTCATAGATGTTAAAAGCTCGGATGGAAAAGAAAAGCATTTTTGAATCTGAAACTTGATTTTAACTCAATTTATTCATATAATGATTCTTAAAATATAACGACTAATAAATTTGAAATTCAAATCCCTCCAATACTTTCCACTATCTCACACTGCACTCCTTTCTAAAAAAAACAAGGCATTTTTTTAAAACAAACAGTCAATAGATTCAGAATTGTAGATACGTAGATACTGTTCCTCAGCGATAGTACATCCTCTAAAATCATCAAGAGTTAAATGTGTTGCATTGGCCGCTAACCAAGTGTGAAATGTTTGTACAGTTAATCTAAATTTTCTATAAGAATGGTAAATCAAATTCCAAACTAATCATGCTGTTCCTGCATGACAAGGTTATGTTAAGCCTTTACTTCTGTTGCAGCATGAAGAAGTTCATCTGGAGTTGCAGCCGGGTCTAAATCCCAACAATGGTCGGGTAAGTTACCGGATTCTCCTTGAAGTAACCAAGATGGAACCTGGTGTGAAAAGCGAAACATCTCTCTCCTTGGAATCCATCTAATAGCATCCTTGTTTGTATTTCTCTGATATACTGTCTTGAACCCATCCAATTTGACAAGGGGAGTAACACAAACTCCAAGCTCTTCAGAGTAATCATCAAGCACCTCGACCATCTCATATTGGTGCCTCACATCATCAGGAGTTGACCTGTTCCAATCTGGTGACCAATTTCGATAAACAGCCCAAATATCTCCACTTTTGGGGAATATGCGAACACAGCCTCCTCTCCCAGCCTTTTCTCCTCTCAGAAGATGTGAGAAAATGTTGACCTGATCAATAATGTCAGAAGTCCATGCCCTGAAGTGTCCACAAGATTTAGTAAACCCAGAATCCAACCAATTCACTGACCCGAATTCATTATCAGTTTTGGAGTTCAAGTAAGTGATGAGAATCTTAAATGGTTTTACAGAGACAACCTGGCGAATCAAACAATACAAACGAGGCATACCATCATCTTCATCATACAGGGCCCATATTTGCTTTGGTTTGAAGCATTCCTCTGATCTATCTTTGTCGAAATCATGAAAGTCAGAGTCAGGAACTATAATTGAGATTGGTGCACATTTATTTGATGCTGATTGAAGAACAGAGACAGCCAAATTGGGAGCCTTTCCTGCTGCTGGTGGTTGACCATCTTCAATGCCTAATTTAACCGCTGAAGCTGCAGCAGGTGGCTCTGAAGCCAACCTAATCTCTTCCAATTTCTTCCGAATTTCTGTCCTCGCCTTGTCAATTAACAACTTTCTAGCATCAAATGCTGGTACCATTAAGCATCGCCTGTTTGGAGGTTCATTTGCGTTGGAAAGCTTTGGATCAGGCTCAACACCATTTCCATTTGCTAATCCAGCTTCTGAATATTTTAATCCTTTGTCTTCATATCCATTTCTAAGATCAGAAGCAACAATAACCTTCCTTTTCTTCTCAAGACTACCAGTCTTAGACCCTGAAGATTCATTACAGCCATTGAACAAATTTGGAATTGTTTGAGTGACATCGTTTTTCAGGGAACGTTTTCCATTGGCACTTGACTTCACCTTTGACCCTGCTCCTCTACCATCTCCGTTAGTCTGATAAACGGCTTCAGTGGAAATGGCTGATACTCCATTATGACCAACAATCCCAGTAGAAGTTCCAGAGAACGAACTCCACTGAAATGACATGTTAGAAACATACTCATATCCAGGACCAGAATGATGACCTGAGACCCCATTTCCAGTAAAAAAAGTAGCATTTGTTGGGACATATGTGACCGCATCATATCCATGACTTCCATATCCATTACTTGGGACATAAGACCAAGGGCAATAGGGGAAAGAACCGTTCAATGGGGCTGACCCAGTTTCAACAGCAATGAAAGTACCTCGGCAGTTCTTACATGAAAGTCTCTTATTGACATACTTCCGAAGATATTCATACTGAACTTTACAAGATGTGCATACAGTCCAAAAAGTATCAAGTCTACCTTGTGAGGTTGAATTTGAACAGTTGCTGACACCTGTAAGCCCAGTAGCATATGTTGAAGTTTGAACCACTCCAGAAGGCATCTGTTTGTTTCTCTTGATATCATTGGAACTTTTCTTGATTCTATCCGACAACAATGTCCATGCCTCAGAAACAAGTTTGAAGGCCCCATCAGCTCCCACACATTTATTCTTATCAGGATGGAGTAAAACAGCCATCTTTCTGTAATGTTTCTTCACTGCCTCTTTATCTGCAGAAGGTTTCAACCCAAGAATTGAATAATAATCAATTTCACCATTACATTTAGCCTCAGAAGCAATGTAAACTTCAAATGTGGATACCATCTGCGATATACCCTCCAATCCAGGATACAACGATTTAGCCTTTAAAGCATAATTCTTAGCACCTGTAAAGTCTCTTTCACAAAATCGCTTCTCAGCGATCTCTTTTGCTTTAAGAGCCTCCTCTTTGTTGGCTTCCATTCAGAAATTTCAGACAATTTTCAAAACCAAACTCCCGAAGCAAAAGTTATACAGATCCCAACGTGGTTAACCATAAAAGAAGCTGAATTGTCACATTCAACCATCTCATCTTTTCTGCATATGGTCAACAAGACAATATTTAGATCTTTCCCGAAATCAAAATTCGTTTTTCCAAGTAAAACTCTACCTCACCAAGTCATGCAACTTTCAAACACACTTAATCAATCCCTAATTACTTATTTAATTCAATATCCTGACTTTTTAAGATCTATCCAATTTCTGCGAAACCAGAGAAAAGGCAAAAATGATAAAAATGTTAAGCTAAATCAATCAATCAATCAATCATCAAAGTTAACCACATCCAAGCATTATGCAGAGTTGGGTTATTCCTTGTCTTAGAGAGAAAAAATATAAAACTTTGCAGTTAATTTCCCTTCCTTTTCCCATCATTTCCTAGGTTAAAAAAAAAACCATAAAAAAACAGCTAAATTTTCAAAATTTCGAAAACCCAAATCACACAAATTTCAAGGCTAAATGACAAAAAGCATACGGATCCAAGTTCAACAGCTCAAAAAATACTTAAATCAAGTAATTTAACCCCAAATTTTAACTAAAGAGTTAAAATTTTTTACAAAATTAAAGTGCATAAGTAAACATTTCCACAAAAAATTATAGTTAAAAATTAAAACAAAAAAGAAACTCAACTCACAGAGATTTGAGCAGCAATGAAAGTGAAGCAAGACCCAGATCGCCACGTGTCCTTTATAGCTTGAGCAAATCAAGGTTTTGAGCTAATTTCTGAATCTCAGTGTTGTTAAAAAGGGAAACAACAAATTTTTTTTTTTTTGGGGGGGGGGGGGACTACACTGAACTAAGTGGTGGGAAACAAATTAGGGTTTTCAATTGGGAATTTAGCGAGATTAAAATCGGCGGCGAGGTCTTGGGGATACCGACGGTCGCCGATCAGAAAAATGGGGCGGGCGAAAATTAATAATAAAAATGATAATTTTCAGAAAAGGTAAACGATGTTAATAGTATTTAATAGTGAGGGCTGCCATTTTGCAATCTGGTGCGTAATACGCACAGTATTTATTTATTTATTTTTATTTTAATAAAAAACAATTACATACTATAATTTTTATTAAAATAAAAAAGAAAAAGACATTATTATGATATATATTAATAATAAAAAAGAAAAATCTTTTCCTTTCTTTTGTATATTTGGTACGTAGAAGAAAAGCAAAACAAGATTCCTTTGTTTCATGCGCTATTACATTTATCACTTTTCATCATGGTAACATTTGTTTTTTAAATGTGTAATTTTTTTAAAAAATATAAGTAGTGAAATTGAAAATAAAAATTTGTTTTTTTTGCTAGAAGAAAATAAAATTTATTTAGTTACTATTTAAAATTAGACAACAAAATAAATATTGTAAATTAAAATAAATTAATTTTAAATAATTTAATAATTTTAATTTATTATAACTTTAAATTGTGATTGATTAATTATATTATAATAATTACAATTAATATGATTCATCAAATATTTTATCATTTCGACATCCACATGAATATATATTTGATTCTAATACAATAAATTTCATTAAATTTTAATAATGATTAATAAAATGCATGGATTTAAAACATTTTAAAAAGGTTATAAATAAAAATTTTGAATTTTAAAAATTATAAATAAAAGTAAAATATTGTGAATAAAATCATGAAAGCATGGTGTAATTTACTCCATATTTTCGCTTTGAGCAATCAATAGATGATTAGGAATTGTGAAAGGCTAAGCATTGTGGATATATAAACTTTTTCATCCTATAAATCCTATTTATCACATCTGGCAATTCAATGCAAGATCTCTAAGATTATATACTATTTCTT